GGCCCAAGGTCGCACGGCTACAACCCGGGGAGAGCCGGGCATCCAGCGCGGACCCCGGGTCCCGCGGCGCGGCGCGTTTCGTAGGTGGTGGCGGCGGGGGCGTTTGCATGGGACGCGGATGCTTGAAATGTGTGACAGAATATGGCGTTTTAGTTTTCTCTCCACCTGTAGCCAAGTACCCGTTCAGCCGCTTAAAGCCACATGCGTTTATCCGCGCGCAGTTCTGTAGGCCAGAGGTCCGCGTGGTGTGGCCGGGCTCGCTGCTCAGGGTGTCACCGGTTGAGTTCCTTTCTGGAGGCTCCGGGGACGCATCAGCTCTCCGCCCCGAGAGGCCTGTTCTCTCCGGGGGGGGGGGGGGGGGGGGGGCGCTGTCCTCAGAGCCAACAAAGGAGAATCCCCCCCGCGTGTTGCCCCTCTCTCTCTCGGACTGTGGTCTCTGACCTCTTGGTCACGTTCAAAGGGCTCACGTGATTAGGTCAGGCCCTCCTGGGTAGTCTCTCTTTCTTGAGGTCAACTGGGTCCAAACGAGCCTAATCATGGGGCGTATACCATCATCTTCACGACCCTGGGAGGTTCACAGCAGGCCGGGCTCTTCGGGGGCATTTTTAAACTCTGCCCACAGGGGCGCCTGGGTGGCTTAGTCGGTTAAGCGACCGACTTAGGCTCAGGTCATGATCTCACGGTCCGTGGGTTCGAGCCCCACGTCGGGCTCTGTGCTGACAGCTTGGAGCCTGGAGCCTGCTTCCGATTCTGCGTCTCCCCCTCTCTCTCTGTCCCTCCCCTGCTTGTGCTCTGTCTCTCTCTGTCCCAGAAATAAACATTAAAAAATTAAAAAAACAAAAACGCTCCGCCTACAAAATTGTTTGAAAGCCATTAGCCAAAAAATTATAAACGACATTAGGGACGTGATTAGTAGTCACTTATCTGGTATTTATTTAGCTATTTTTTATTTCTTAAAGTTGATTTACTTATTTTGAGAGTGAGCGAGCGCGTGCGTGCGAGCGAGGCCTGGATTCTACCGTTCCCTCCACTCTTGCTCATAATTCATCTTCTGCGCCCGTCTGCCAGGGGAGCGCCGACTCCCGGAGGTCGGGGACACCTTTGCCCGCCACAGCCTGGCACGGGGAAGGTGCCCAGTGCCAGCTGTTGTGTTAAATGCGAGACTGTCACTTGGCTCCAGTAATCGCTGTAAAATTGTCGATGGAAGGACCGTGGTGGAGCTTTGTGGGATTAAGGGATCGAAGGTGAGGGGTTCCCGCCGGGAGTCAGGTGGCTGGTGGCCAGGGGGAGGCGAAGGCATGGCCGTGGGTCTCTGGGGTCCCTGACTCCGCCCCCGCAGCTATGTAACTGGGGCCCTGAGACGGCGGGCGATGGGGTCCAGATGCCTTGCTGGGTCTCTGCCTCACCCCATGGACGTCGGGGCAGGAGGGGGACAGGTGTCCTCCCGTCTGCAGATGCTCCCGGCTGCTTCCAGATCTTTCCCTGCCTCCGTGGACTGGCAGCTGTCTCTTCCCTCATGGTGCCTCCAGCCTGTGGTGCAGGTGCAAGTGTCCCTCCCTTCCCACGTCATTCCCGAGGCCTCAGCACCGTGGACGTGCCCCACGCACCTGCCCAGCCCGTCCCCCTCCCCCCCTCCCTCCCACTCCTGGTCCTCCGCCCTGTTCGCCTGCCCGTTCCCAGGGGCATCTCCGACCCCTGTTCCCGCCCTACCTGTGTCCTCCGTCATGTCGGGGTCCAGCCTCTGCCCCCCGTAGTGTCTGCGACCACTCTGCTCACCACTGCCCTGAACAGCTGCCCGGCCGCTGTCCTCGAGGCCAGGTGGACATCCAGGGCTGGCTCTGTGTCTCCCTCCCCGGTCCTCCCACCCCAGCGTCCTGGCCTGGCACGTCCCCTGCCCTTCCAGGCGGCCACGTGGTTCATGGCCTCCTCCTTCCTATCTCTGCTCAGATGCCTCCCCCCCCCCGATCTCCTGGTCCCTGATACCCTCTCTACCCTTCAAACTCTGTCCTGTTCTTTCCAACAGACTTTTTTTTTTTTTTTAAGTTTATTTGTATTTATTGTGAGAGAGATAGAGTCCGAGCAGCGGAGGGGCAGAGAGAGAGAGAGAATGAATGAACGAATCCCAAGCGGGTTCTATGCTGTGAGCGCAGAGCCCGACGCGGGGCTTGAACCTACAAACTGTAAGATCGTGACCTGAGCCGAAATCAAGAGTCGGACTCTCAACCGACTGAGCCACCAGGAGCCTAGGCGATAGACTTGGTTATATTTCAACAGTTTGAAATTTACAGAGAAACAGCAAACATCCTACAGAGGGTTCCCATATGCCCACACCCAGTTTTCTCCATTATGAGCCTCTCCTGTCACCGGGGTGCACTTGTTCAGGATTAATGCATTGTTATTACCCAAAGTCCACCTTTTATCCACATTTCCTTATTTTTCCGTCCGTTTTCTGGCCAGGACCCCCTCCGGGATCCCACGTTACAGTGGCATCGCGTCTCCTTAGCGCCTCGGGGCTGTGGCGATTCCTTGCTTATGATCACCTTGCCCGTTTTGAGGAGGGTGGATCAGGAATTGGTCAGACTGGGGCGATGGGTTTTAGGAGGAGCCCCAGTGGAGTGAAGTGCCGACGTGACTGATCCCATGGGCGTCGGCCTCCATCACGTGGCTGACGTGGCTGACAGGCTTCTCCACTGTGTCCTGCCTTGTTTTCTTTATAATATCGAGCACAGTCCAAAGTGTGTCTGTTGTGTTTCCTCTAATGTCCGATTAGAACGTTAAGACCAGAGGCCCCTTTTGTCTTATTTATTCCCAGAGCCTGGTGCGTGGCAGAGGCTCAGCAAATTAATTAATCGACTCGGTACCTGCTTCTAGAGCACCAGTGCCGGGCAGGGGTCCCCGCGTGCTGGGGACAGAGCCCCTTAGTGCCATAGTTCCCGCCCTCAGAGAGCTTCAGGTGCACCGGGGGAGATCATTACAGACAAAGGTGTGTTCCCAATGTAGATGTGAACAGGGAAACAACGCTTGGGTGTGGTGAGTGGGTGGGTGGGGGGCGGCCTGTGGCCTGCGGGGGGGGGGGGGGCGCGCAGGGTGATCAGAGAATGATACAGAAGCTTGAGACCCGAAGGATGAGTGAGAGCCAGCAGCCAGCTGGTGGGGAGGCAGATGTGTTCAGGGTGGCAGGAACGGCATGTGCAAAGGTCCTGAGGCAGAGAGGACTTGGGAGTATTTAAAGAACACCAGCAAGGAGGCAGGATGCTCCACTGGAACCAGCCTTGCTTCGGGGAGGTGGCTTTGTCAAGGGGAGTGAAGAGGAGGGTGTGAAAAAGTGGACCCAGTTATGAGGTGGGCAGAAGTGGGGTGAGGGGGGAAGTCCAGGCTCTTGAAAGTGGTGGATGCTGTTCTGCTTCTTTCCTAGAAAAAGGGGCAGGTTTGGAGGGAGATGGATTCTTTCAGAGATGCTTTTCGGAACACCTGAGCTGAAGGATCGTGGAGGTGGGGCTGTATCTTGAGGGGTTTCTGATCTGGGGACAGCGTCGGAAGGTGTGGAAGGGCATGAGCTGGCCTTGGAAGAGAGTCATCCAGGGAGAGACCCTGGAGACCTGCCTTGTAAAGGTCAAGGAGGACCCTGTCCTCAAGCGAACTGGAAGGGGGGGGGGTGGTCAGAGAGGAGGGCACACGCCGGGCAAGCATGGTGTCCGTGGAAGAGAGTTCTGGAAAGCGGGAGGGGAGGCAGCTCGGCCGGGGGCTGATGGTGCGGTCAAGTCGCGGGCAGGGGAGTGGGGTCCAGCTGCCGTGTTGGGATCCGGTCCGTCCAGGCGTCCATTTCGTTGCGTGACGTGCGTTCGGCAGGCGCGGCCAAGGAACCCTGTTTCTCCGTGGATCTTTTCCCCGCTGAAAGCTGTCTTCTCTCACAACACGTCACCGGTGAGGACAACAGGAGCCTCGTCGAGAAAAGTCTCGAGCGGAAGGCTGGCCTGGAGAAAAGAGCGCGGGTCCCCGTGCAGGCTGGTGCGCCCACATCACAGCCATCACTCGGCGAAGCCAAAACTGTGGCGCCAGCCCGGACGCCCATCACCCGACGAGTGGATCAGTGAGACGTAATAGATCCGTGCGCGGGGATATTATTCAGCCACAGGAAGGAAAAAAGTACTGACACGTCGTGCGTCGCCGCGGATGCGCTTTGGAAACAGCCTGCCCAGCGAGAGGAGCCAGACACAAAAGATCACGTATTATACCGGCATGTAACTCATATGAAATCCCGTTTGTGCGAAATATCCAGAATAGGCAAACCCGTAGAGAAAACAGCTGAGTGGTTGGAAGGGGCGGGTAGGGGGTGCCTGCTCCTGGGCGCGGGGTTTCTTTGGGGCGCGGAAGCTGGTCTCCAGTTAACAGTGGTGATGGTTGCATGACCCTGCGAGCAGATTAGAAACCGCCGAATGGCACACTTTCGAAGGGTGAACTGCGTGGCGTGTGAATTCGGTCTCAGGAAAGCCGTTGAGAAGGACGGGAGTTGCTCAGAGCCTGTCAGTAACGGGCCATAGGGGATCCCCTTCTCTCCACGGCCTTAGGCTCAGGGTGACACGAGCTGCAGATCCTTTGGGAGAGGAGGGATGGACATTTTATGGCCGCGGGCCACGCGGGACAGAGCCGCTAATGTTCCTCGTGTAATCCCTCCTCCTCCAAGCCACGGTGAACGAGTTCATCCTTTCCTTTTGCTGACAGTTTCCACATGTACCCAAGTTCCTGCCAGGAGGACGTCCATGTCCACCGTGGTGGCTGCGCCCTGCCCGTCCTCTCACGAAGTCCCACAGAAAGTCTGGCAGCCCAGGAGGTGTTGGGGGGGGGGCGGGAGATGGGCCTTTCCCATCTCCTGCCCCCCCAGCCGCTGTGCCGGGGCGTGTCCGTCTCGGTGTCCAGCCGCCTTCAGTTGTGGGCTTGCCCAGTCATCGCCCTGGTCCACGTGGCATGGCGGGTGAGGCCATAACACTGCCTGCCCCCAGGTTCTCATCGACTGGGTCAACGACGTGCTGGTGGAGGAGAGGATCATCGTGAAGCAGCTAGAGGAGGACCTTTACGACGGCCAGGTGCTGCAGAAGCTCTTGGGTGAGTCCTCGGGCGTGCCCAGCACAGGGCCACAGCAGGGCGGTCCCGGGGCCGGGACCGGGGCTCGATTCCCACAGGGCGGCACGGGCCACACGTGCTGAGAGCCTTAGAGCCGCAGCCCTGAGCCCACGCTCCTCGGCGGTGGCTCCCGGGCCGCCTGCTCTCTGATCATGTCCACAGTGGGCATTCCGCCAGAGCCCCCGGCCTCGGGGCTGCAGCAGGCCACACAAGGCTTCCAGAGCAGTCCTGTGGGTTGGGGGGGGGCAAGGAAATGGGGCAAGAGCATCACCCCTTCCTGTGCGGGTCAGCCCTCCTGGCGGCCTCGTGTGCTCCCACGTCCCAACGGTGAGGCCTGTGCCGGCTCGTTCCGCGTGGGTGGGTGGGTGGGTGGGTGGCCGAGGGTCCCCAGCAGATACTCTGTGAGTGGGCTGTGCCCCGGGGGGCAGACGGGTGTGGGGTGCGGGTGGTGACAGCTGTCGCTGGGGCCAGCGGAAGTCCCGCACCGAAGCGACGGATGCAGGGCACCTGGCACGCCGTCTCCCGCCAGCGAGTGGTGGTTAAAACAAAGACAAAGCCCCGAAAGCAAGCGCGGGGGCTGTCGAGTCCCCCAGCTCCTGTGAGCGGCAGGGCCACGGTTTCTAGGTGTGGACGCTGCAGTTTCGTCACCACAGGGGCTGTGGGCTCCTTTTGCCGCAAGTGAAAGGACCGTGTGTCTGGGTCCTCCCCTCCCCCGCCCCCCAAGACGCCGAAGGGTCCCTCAGCTTCAGGGCGCTCTGATGTGTTTTGGGGGTCCCCGAACACCCTGCGAGGTGGCCTCAAGGACGCAGTGTCCCCTTGTATGTGGATAACACGCTTCCTAGAGGTCAAGAGCAGATCCTGAGCCCCCAGCATCCGGGGGGGGGGGGGGGGCTGCCGTCCTGCTGCCTGGGCTCCCAGCTGCCCTGGGACCGCATTTCTCCCCGTTGTCGTAGCAGAGACTTGACAGCTGCAGGGCCTAGGGGCCGCCGCTCAGGGGAGGGAGCCCAGGGAGGGAGGACCCTTCCTCGGGCGGGGCGTTCCTGGGCGGGGCGTTCCTGGGCGGGGCTTACGCCCTCTGTGCGGGGCGCTCTTGGGGGACCCTCTGATTGGAGGGAACCCTGCGGGGACTGGGAGGAGGGAAACCGCCCAGTAACCCACGCGGAGGACGCAGGATCGATGGCCCACGTGTCGTGTCCTTATCCATCTTGCCCTCAGAAAGTACCTTTGTCATGTTTGTTTTGGTCATTCCTCTGTTGGGCAACGTTTCATCGTGTGGCAGGTGTGGATCTAGGCTCTGGGGACGCAGTGGTAGCAAGAGGGAGGGGGTCCCCCTCGCCCAGCTGTCCCCCTGCATTCTGGCAGAGGGAAGAAAGAGAAATATCATGGGTCGTAAACAGACGCTTTAAGAGAGTGGCCAACGGCAAGGAAAGGAAGCCAGAGGGTCACGGGGCAGAGAGGGGCCGGGCGATGGGGGCAGCCCCTCTGGAGATTGGACATCTGAGCAGGCGTCTGCACAGCCAGCCTCAGAAGAACATTCCAGGCCAAGACTTTGAGGTGAGGAAGAGGCTGTAGCATTTAAAGCCCAGTGACAGGAGGCTGCGAGACGTGGGGGGAGGGGGTGGGGGCCTGGATAAAACCAGATCACATGCAGCTCTGGTGGACAAAGGCTTTTATTGCAAGTGACAGGGAGCCACTGGAGGTTTTGAGCAGGGCCGTGACATGATCTGAGTTAAGGGTTTTAAAAAGTCACCTGGGCTTCTGGGTACAGAATGGAGGGGGCGGGGGGGGGGGCGGGAGTAGGAGCTGAGATAGTCAGAACGCTGTTAGGACAGCCTGGGCCTCAGATAAAGAGGCTCAGACTGAGGTGGAGGTGTAGACCCCGGGAGGGTGTGTTGGAGGTGGAGGCTGCCGGAGGAGTCAAGGCCGACAGCCAGGTTTGTGTTCTGAGCACCCGGTGAACGAGGAGCCCCTTGGGAACAGCGAGGTGGGTGGGGGACGAGGAGGTGGCTTTACCTCGGTGGGGGCCCGTCCTCCCTGAGTCGGCGGCCGGTTGGGGGTGGAGCTCGGCGGTGCAGAGATGATGTTTAACACCGTGGGATCCGATGGCCTCTCCTGGAGAGGGTGTTCAGATTCATGATTTGGCTGGATGCCGTGCGGCCGAGAGTTCATAGGTATTTGGCTGAGCCAAGGATCCCCATCTTAGAATGACTTCTACGGTCCAAGAATAAATCTGAAATGTTATCGGGATTGTTAATAATGATCACAAGTTTATTATTAAAGATGTTGGGGGTGGGAGTTGCCTGGCTGGCTCAGCTGGTTAGTTAAACATCCGCCTCTTGATCTCAGCTCAGGTCACCGTCTCACAGTGGTTTGTGAGTTCAAGCCCTGCGTTGGGCTCTGTGCTGACAGGGCAGAGCCTGCTTGATGCTCTGTCTCTCTCTCTGCCCCTCCCTTGTGCGCACACTCTCCCTATTTATGAAAGAATAAGTAAACGTTTAAGAAATGTTTAAACATTGAATGGTCAGGTTGAGCCATTGTATTTTACACCTGAAACTAATATAATGCTGTATGCAAATTGTACGTGAATAGCAAACAATGTCAGGATTTTGAAGTTTTATTTATTTTCATTTATTTAAAAAATGTTTATTTTTGAGAGAGAGAGAGAGGAGTGCGCCTACATGTGTGCATGAGTGGGTGAGAGGCAAAGAGACAGAGAGCGCAGCCTTCCACACAGAGCCCCACGTGGGGCTCGAACCCGTGAACCACGAGATCATGACCTGAGCAGAAGCCAAGAGTTGGATGCTTAACTGCCTGAAACACCCAGGTGCCCCAGAATTTTAATGGTTTGGATCGTCGTGTTGATAGGGTCATTCTCAGGGTCACCCTCAGCACTGTCCGGGACTGCATTGTCCTCGGGGTCACTACACTAGAAATATGTGATGGCAGACTCTCCTTTTCAATAGAGAAGGGGCGGGAGCCCACGGACCTTAGGCTGACCCCGGGTGCGAGCAGCCTTCCGACGTGTCACCAGCTGCCCTCCTCATCCGTGGCAAAGACCTAGCTCCCCTTTGTCTCTCGGACCCAAAGAATTGGCTGTGGGTGATGCTGTTATTGAAACAGTGCCCTGACCTGGGGGAGATGCCTCCTAGCGTTTGCAGAAGCAGACTCAAGAGTATTATACTCCCTTAGATTTTTTCTTTCTGGTTCTTTCGCACGTATCTGTGGCTTCATTCTCCCAATTGCTCAAAAAACGTCGTGTCCTAAGCCTTCGTGTTAGCAGGGTGGCCGTAGTACCCTGTGTCCGGATCCCAGGACAGGCTGTGAATTTGCATCCACGTTTCAGCCTTGGCTGCTCACGAAGGATGCTGGTGCCTCCCTGGTGGTGAGTGACGGGGCGTCTGTAGAGCAGGTGTCTGGTAAGGGTTCTCGCCCCGCAAGGCATGTCCTTTGGGTCCCCGTCTTCCGGTGGCCCCAGCAGGTGCAGCCCTGGGTCTGGAGCCGCTGTGGGACCGCCTGCTACATCGGTGACCGCCTACAGACCGCCTGCTACGTAGGTGACCGCCTACAGACTGACGTGAGGCTCACTGTGGCTCGGGCAGCCTTTTTTATCACGGAGCAGACGCCCTCCCTTCCCATTGGAAGATCTTCTCTCCCACGTGTCAAGCAGACGGTTTGACACGCTCCTCTGAGGAAAAGAACAAAGGGAGAGAATATTCAGATATTAACAGGAAATCAGCGTGTCTCGCCCGGTTGTATCGCTGATGACGTCACCCGTGCGATCACGTGGCCCCTGAGCCCGGGACACCAGGAGTCCTATCGGGAGTGTAGACGAGACATTCGGCTCCCTGTCCAAGGGCAGAAGCCAAAGCCAGGAGGAGTTTGTGGCTGAGTGCCAAGGCCAAAGCTGACTTCTGTGCGTCTAGAGAGAGGAGAGGTCAGAGGCCTGGGCCCCGGGCGGTCGGGAAGGGGTCGGGAAGCGGAGGGGCCCCGAGAGGGGTCTGAAGGGTCCACCCATGAGGGCGGAAGCACCAGGCAGGCGCGTGTTCGGGAGGGAGGGGTAGAGGAGAAGGTGATTCGAGGAGGCGGGAGTGGCTGTGAGGACACAGACTGGGTTGGGCCTCGTGAGATCACCAAGTGCAAGTCATTGGCAGGACCCCAGACGTGTCCCTCTTCTTGGGAGCAGACTCTGAGGCAGCTGCTGACCCTGCCAGGTGGCAGGTTTTGGTGGATGTGACTCTTCTGCGGGTGGACCTTCTGTGGGCAGAGGGAGGGTGCCCACGCTGGGGACCCGGGGGCTCCCCGGCTGGCTCCTGTCCTGATTCTAACTCCGGGCACTCCCTTCTCCTTGCAAGAGGCAGGCCCTTCCGGCGTAAGGAGTGTCCACGGCCCTGCGTTCAGCATCACCCCCGTTTGCCTGTCGCATCCGAGAATCCGCCCTCCCCTTCCTCCATCCCTTTCTGTGCTCTGAAGGCAGGTCCTGGCCGCCGCACAGCCCTGAGCCGCCCCCTCAGCCCGTCCGTAGGCAGAGTGATGCCTGGAAATGCCGGCAGCCAGATGTTTTATTCTCTCCCACGGGGCAGAGCCCTCCAGGACAGCCGCAGACAGCACCCAGGCGTAGCCAGCCTCCTCGGGTCCTGTCTTGGGCTGAATTGTGTCCCCCAGAATCCATAAGTTGAAGTCCTAACCCCCAGGTCCTCGAATGGAGACTGGGTCTTTCTAGAGGTCGTTAAGTTAAAATGAGGTCCTTGGGGGTAGACCCTAAACCCGTATGGCTGGTGTCCCTTTAAGGAGATCGGACAAGGACACATGGTGGGGGCGGGAGGGGGGAAACCCATGTGAGGACACAGCGAGAAGCGGCCCGTCTGCAGGCTAAGGAGAGAGGCCTCAGGAGAAGCCAGCTCTGTCCACCCTCTGATCTCAGACTTTCATCCTCCAGGATCTCGAGCACGGACACTTTCACTGCTTAAGTCCCGGGTCCGTGGTGTTCTGGAACTGCAGCCCTAACGAGCTAGCACAGGTCCCTTCCCGTCTCCATCACTCCTCCCCACCCCCCGCCCGGGTACCACGGCCGTGTTCAGTCTGCAGGGTCGGCTGGCGGAGCTGACGGCAGAGGTGTGCTGGGCGCCCCTTCTGGTGGGCAAGGCTCTCAGACCACACACCTCTGTAACCCTCCTTCCTTCCCCAGGATCCCCTGCTCCACCCTGTAACACCTGGGCGGGGGGGCTGCTGTGTATTTTCAGGGTGATCATGCAGACAGACAGCTGTGGGTTATTTCAGCCAGGACCTACTCGATGCGGAGGGACATCAAAACATATAAATGGGGACCGTTCCCATTTCCTGCGGCAGAGTTTTGTTTTGTTTTTAGTACTCACCGCTGCTGACCTGATGTTACTTAGATGTGGTGCCTCCCCACTAGAGAGCTCTCTGGTCTGTGCTGCACCTAGCCCCAGGACAGTGCCTGGCGCACAGAAGGTGCTCATATTGTGAGCTGATGAAGGGAGGGAGGTGGGTAGGTGGGCAGGAGGGAAGAGAGGGAGGGAGGAAGGGAGGGAGGGAGGAAGGAAGGGAGGGAGGAGGAGGGAGGAGGAGGGAGGGCGTGTCCCAAGCCCCCCAGGCATTGCTGTATAACATCATCCTGGAGGGAGCGTCCAAAGTGCTTGCGTTTGTTCTCTTCGAGGGAGGAGAGGACCTGGGGAGAGGACGCTGAAACAGCGGGGCCTCCAGAGCAAATGCTGAGCCCAGGGCTCTGGGGGGACCACTGAGACCAGCCTGGACTGCGCTGCTTTTACGCTGCCCCTCCCGTCGGTGCCACGGCCAGCAGCCGCCCCCCCGGCCCGCAGGTGCCTCTGCCTCTGCGGTGCCGCTGCTGTTGCTTCCCGGAGGAGACCCGTCCGGAGACACCCACGCCTTAGCAGGCGGGGACGTGGAGGGGCCCCGTGGCTGAGGCCGGGCTTGGGGTCAGTCCCCCACCTCCAGGTGGCCGGTCTTGTGTGGCTCCGCCGGGTTGCTCCCCCCTCCCCGTGGGTGACGAGGTAGCGGCGGTACCTGGGAGCGTCTCGTGGTCCTTACGCGGCGTCCGGGTGTCAGAGGCCACATCCGAGACCCTCTGTGTTCTTCCTCGGAGCCCCCTTCCCGCCGTGAGGCCACCGCACGGCCTCCTGGGCTCCAGCTCCCTCCCTGCACGCCAGCCCCCTGCTTCCGAGGGCACCTCGAGTCGCTTTTTCCACTTTGTGTGCACGGAGCGTTCCCAGGTTGTACCCTCGAACCCCACACCCCCTTTCCTTCCCGGCGTCCTTCCCCAAGGAAGGACTAGGAAGCTCGGAGCTGCGGGGCTCCATGTCCTGACGGCTCCCCGCTGCTCAGGGAAGATGTGTTCCCCCTGGCACAGGAGGGTCCCCGCTGCGGCCAGGCGAGCGGGTGGCCCTGACGCCCTGCCTCCTGCTCTTGCCCCTTCCTGTTGCAGAAAAGCTGGCCGGCTGCAAGCTGAACGTGGCGGAGGTGACGCAGTCCGAGGTAGGGCAGAGGCAGAAGCTGCAGACGGTGCTGGAAGCTGTGCACGGCCTGCTGCGGCCCCACGGCTGGGCGCTCCAGTGGACCGTCGACTGTGAGTAGTCCCGGGGGACACAGAGCCTGTCCCCTCGGCTCTCCACGGTGTCATTCGCTGGGGCTTCTGGGCCTGCGCTTTCCAAACCCGTTCAGGCTGCTGCCCCATGGGAGGCGGCTGGGACAGGACGGCGTCCCCATGCTTGGGAGCCAGCTCCTAGGTGAGAGAGGAGGTCTCCCGTCTTATCTTCTTGTCCCCCGTGCTTCAGAGGAGAGAGGAGTTGTTTCTGGTCTGGGGCGTCAGGGGCGGCTTGCAGAGGAAGGAGGGGAAAGACAGAGGAGCTCCGTGGGGCTCGTGGAAGGGACCCAACCCCAGGTCCCCGTGGCGCCAGCACCAAAAGGGCTGTTTCACCCGTGACCCACTGTGGCAGGTCCTCGGGAAAGGAATCACGCCGGCCCCCGGGGTATGTCACGGAGCGTGCTGGCACTACAGGCAGGTGACCTCACGGTATTTCCAGCCTAGAGGCGGAGCCTGAAAGGTGAAGGGTTAAATGAAGCAAGAGAAGCCCCGGGGCGCCCCGGGGGGGGGGCTCAGCGGGTTAAGCGTCCAGCTTCGGCTCAGGTCATGATCTCGCAGCTCACGAGTTTGAGCCCCGCGTCGGGCTCTTGGAGCCTGGATCCTGCTTCGGATTCTGTGCCTCCCTCTCTCTCTCTGCCCCTCTCCCACTTGTGCGCTCTCGCTCTCTCTCTCTCTCTCAAAAATAAATAAACTTAAAAAAGACGTTAAAGAAAAGAGAGAGAAGCCAGAAGGTACCGTCCCCCCAGCAGGGCAGTCAGGGCCCGGCTCAGAGGCCCCCCCCCCCCCCGGCAGCCACCAGGGGCCCCTGTGCTTCGGAGGGATGAGCTCTAGGCTGTGGTGAGGAGACTGGCACCCGGTTTCTTGGCATCGAGACCTGCCACAGACCCCAGCCTACCTCCTGGGTCGTGGGGGCCGTCGGTGGGGGGGGAATCGAGTGTTTTGCAAGCCGTGAAGTCCTGCTCAGGACTCACTGTGACCACGGCTGGGCCCGAGGGCTCGAGCAAAGCTGTATCTTTCCCCTTCCCTTGTGCTAATTTCGCTCTCCTGCCCACTCTGTCTCCTTCTCACACTACCCGGTTGACGCCTTTTAAAAATACCTTGCTTTGGGGGCGCCTGGGTGCCTCCGTCAGTTAAGCATCCAGCCCTTGATTTCAGCTCAGGTCATGATCCCAGAGTTGTGGGATCGAGCCTCGTGTCAGGCTTTGCGTCGAGTGGAGCCTGCTTGGGATTCTCTGTCTGTCTGCCCCTTTCCTACTTGCTCTCTGTCTCTCTCTCTCTCTCTCTCTCCGCCCCTCTTCTGCTTGTGTTCACTCTCAAAAAAACCCCAAAAGCCCCCAGACCCGTGCCCTTGAAAGTGGTTAGACATGTTACCTGTAGCCGACAGGAAAGAAAACAGAAACACAGGGGGCTCGTCACCACCGTGTTCCCGCGGCCCGCACTGTTTTCTCCATGGTTGTTCTCCGCGGTCTCGTTTGGACGCAACGTCTCTTCGTTGCCTTGTGGGCCGGGGCTCCGGGCTCCTGCCTCACCTGGTCTATAGCTGCTCCCTCTTCCCTCCCCCGACCAGCCATTCACGGGAAGAACCTCGTGGCCATCCTTCACCTCCTCGTCGCCCTGGCCATGCACTTCCGGGCCCCGATCCGCCTTCCGGAGCACGTGTCCGTGCAGGTGGTGGTGGTGCGGGTGAGTATGGGATGGGGCGGTGGGCTTGCCCGTGGCGTCGCGGGAAGGGCGCCGGGCCAGCTGCCTCCCGTAGGTCTCCTGCTGCCTTTTCTTTTTCCCCTAAGAGGCCACCTTCTGTCCTCCCCGCCTGACCCAGTGTGTGTCTCACCGTGGCTTTGGTCCAAATGACGGAGCGGGAGCAGCGGCCCTGATTTGGAGAGGGAGGCGGATTCAGAGGCACGAGCGTGTTGAATTTTCCAGACTTTTTTAAAAAGAACATTCATCTGTCTCCAAAGCCAAGTAGCTGGAATTCAGTTCTCTTGAACGAGCTTGCTCCTCACCGGAGAGGGCTGAGTCCAGCGGCATGAACAGATGCCCCGGTTAGAGCTCCTCCGAGTCTGTTCCCCGTTACCCCCTTGTTCCCCGGCTCGCTCTCTTGGAGTTCATTCTCTTGCCTCACTTGGAGACGTGGAAGCAGGAGCCAGGGCCCTCCTGACCGAGGAGGGGCCTTTCCTGCCGTGTCCCCTGCATTTGAGGGGAGACACCCCTCAAGTGGCTTTGTGTTCGGCGCTTGTCCTGTGAAATGTGCATGAAGCACCTACTGGGCGCACAGGCTGTTGGGGACGCTGAACGCGGAAAACACTCGGGTTCCGAACACGAGACCCGTGAGGTTAACGCCCGGGGCCTGGACGTCTGTGTGCTTATGCACTTGTGATGCCCAGCTCCACACTTGCCCTCTTCCGCTCTCTGTGGGCGGCAAGGCTCTGGCCGGCCCCACTTTCCCAAAGCCGTCTGACCCCGCCGTTACCCCCGGAGCTCGGCCTTGACCCGGCCGGCAGTAATGCCCCTTTCTGGCATCAGGCGAGGGTCACCCACTGCCACTTGGCCCCGCTTGCTTCCCGAGGAGGGATGTTTGTGGTCAGTGGTGGTGATGGAGACAGAGACCATCCCTGCCGCCCTTCTCCTGGACAGTTCACTCGCGGCAGACAGCCGGGAAAGGCTTCCCAAGGACACGCGGGCGCGTCCGTCAGACTCGGGGGCCCCATGAGTGCCGTGTAGCTCGGTAATCAAGGTATTTCCTTTCAGGCCCGCACTTTGGTCCAAGAACTCTTGGGTTTTTAGAAAGTTTTACTGACCCGGGCAAGCCCTTGCTGGTGCCTCCTGCCTGACCAGGGTTACGGAAGGATTCTTAGGGCCACGTCCAAAGGGGTGTGAATCAAGAGGAGGTCCCGGGAACTGACTGGCCTCAGGCCTCAGACGCCTGCCTCCCAGGCCCTGGGGCCTGTCCCTCCACGTCCGGTTATCCGGTCTGAGATGGGAGATGCAAGGAGTGTGGGGGTCCATGGAGGGAAGGGATGAGGACAGGGGTCTCATTCACTACAGAGCAGCATGGCCTTGGGAGACCATTTGATTTGATTTCTCGGAGTTGCAGCGAGTTCCTCATAGAACTGAGCGGATGCTATAAACCTTTGAAATACTCAGCTTCACGTGTCCGGTACTCAGCCCTGGGCCTGGCACCTAGGAAGTGCCTAATGCACATTGGACGCGTGAGCGAGAGAAGTGTCTCCAACCTCCCGTAGTGGACTGAGTCTCCTGGGAATCAGGCCGAGGCCCTGAGGCCGCTGATGGCCGCCCATGCTGGTTGCTTGAGAGTTCCCTGGAGGCCGAGCTGGAAAGGGGTGGGGAGCTCAGCTCTCAAGAGGTGTCCATGGTGGGTTGGCCAGCAGGAAGGGAGTTCCCCGTGTCTCGAGGGGTCCAAGTAGGGGCTCGCAGTGGTTGGGTGGGCTGGCCGCCCGAGCTGCACCTTGCGGTCCCGTGACATGCAGGCTGCCCCCGATGCCCACCACCACCCCCTTCAGTCCCACCATTGCTGCCTCTTCACACCCGTGGGGCTTTCGGAGAAGTCTGTCATGCACAGGGTGACGTCCCGCGGCCTGCTGTATGTAACACAATACCGCGACCTGGCTGTTTGAAACAACAGACCCTCGCCTGATGCCAGGAAGGAGCATTTCCACCTGCCGGGTCAAGGCCAAGCTCCCCAGGGTAACGGAGGGGTCAGATGGCTTTGGAAAACCAGGACCAGCCTGAGCCTTGCAGCCCGCGTTAGTAACAGAGGCCAGAGTCCTACTAATCAAGGGGTTGGCAGGGCCCCGGTCTCTCTGAAGCCTCCAGGGGAGGATCCTTCCTTCTCTCTTCTGGCTTCTGGTGGCTTCCGGCAGCCCTTGGCATTCCTGGCCTTGTAGATGTGTCCCCCCAGGCTCTGCCTGTGTCGTCACATGACCTCTTCCCTCTGTGCCCATGTGTGTGTGTGTGTGTGTGTGTGTGTGTGTGTGTGTGTGTGTGTTTTCTCTCATAAGGACTCCAGTCATGCTGTACTTAGGACCTGCCTAGTCCATTATGGCCTCATCCTAACTAACTGTATCTGCAAAGACCCAGTTTCCAAACAAGGTCACGTTCTGAGGTTCCGAATGGACATGACTTCTGGGCGGGGGGGCCCCTGCCTCAGTCGAGTGCACCTCCCTATGTTGTGTTGCTCGTGCCCCTTACTTACTCTCCCAGCGGCACGGCACCGGGGAATCCCTTCGGGAGCTAGGGTTTCCCCTGAGACCCCCCATAGCTGCCAGCTCTCAGGGCAAGGTGGAGAGCCTGGGAGGAGGGGAGGGGGCAGTTTCCAGCCACTGAAAGGGTCACCCGCTGTGGCCACCTGCAGCCCACCCACCATGGGCGTGGCTCGGATGCTGTCCTCAGGCGGACTCCCGGCCCCAGGGCCATCCGCACACGGCTCGCTTACCCTGCCAGTGATGCCCTCCCTCCCGTCCCCTCTGCCTGCCCACGTATTTGTAGATTTATCTGTTCGTTTTGGGCTTTGCAGAAGCGGGAAGGCATGCTACATTCCAGCCACATCACGGAAGAGCTGACCACAACCACCGAGTAAGTGGGCCTGTGGAAGCCGGGGACCTGCACGTACGCGGGGGGGCTGATTTCTGTGCGACAACCCCCCCCCGCCAGCCTTAGGATGAGATTTTCATGCAAGCCCTGCCCTAGCTGTATGTCCTGCGTGTGCTTTCTTCAAAGATTTTTTTTTTCTCATGAGGAAGGGCAAGATAGCAGTTTGGTTTGGCATTTATTTAAAAAAATTTTTTTTTTAATTTTTTTTTTTTCAATGTTTATTTATTTTTGGGACAGAGAGAGACAGAGCATGAACGGGGGAGGGGCAGAGAGAGAGGGAGACACAGAATCGGAAACAGGCTCCAGGCTCTGAGCCATCAGCCCAGAGCCCGACGCGGGGCTCAAACTCACAGACCACGAGATCGTGACCTGGCTGAAGTCGGACGCTTAACCGACTGCGCCACCCAGGCGCCCCTAAAAATTTTTAATGTTTGTTTATTTTTGAGAGAGAGAGCGCGAGTGGGGCAGGGGCAGAGAGAGAGGGAGACACAGAATCCGAAGCAGGCTCCGGGCTCCGAACTGTCAGCACAGGGCCCCACGTGGGGCTCGAACCCACGAACCGCGAGACCACGACCTGAGCCAAAGTCTGACGCTTAACCGACTGAGCCACCCAGGCGCCCCTGGTTTGGTATTTAAATGAGGAATTCTCCCAGATAGAAAAATAAATAATGTGCGGTGCAGGAATTAGAACGTACTTCGGCTGCCCCAGATCGTTTCTGGAAAGACACAGAGAATAATAAACAAGTAAAAATGTAACTGATCACATTCAAGATCTTTTTACGAGGAAGAAAAGGAAAAGGGGAATTTAAAACATTGGGCTTTTGTCCGGTAGGTATGCCAAAGTCTTCAAAGTTTTCTGTGTGAGAACAGAGTTACTCTCCAAAGCCTTTGGACTTTTATTCCTTATTTTAGAAGGTGATCTTAAAGAACGTAGAGAGGGGGCGGGAGGGAGGAGGTGTTCAGAATGGTTAGGGACCCCTTGTCCCTGCATCCGCTCTGTCGGAGAGGGAGCCACACGTCTGAATTAGAACTTGCCTTTGAGAGAGTGCCGAGCCGTCCCTCGCCTCTTAGAGAGAAAGCCAGAGGGCAATTTTTAAGAAGTCTAAAAGGCTTCAAAATCTATCGAAAATAGCAAATCAAATGGTAAATTTTGCGTGTGGCTTTTAGGAGCCCGTGAAGGAGCTTTAAAATTCACTTGCTTTTGTGCCTCTCGACCAAACCTGTTTCAGATGAAACAGAACATTCGAGATTGATCTTCTCGGTGAACCCTCCTCCCGCTCTGTTCACGGAGTGATTAATTACTGTGTCACGAATTCACGGACGGTCTCTCAAAACTTGAGGCTGACCCAGGAAACCACTCCCGGCATGGGAGCTGGCGAATTGGGGAGTCGCTGCCCGGAGGCCTGATGTGCGGCGTGTCTGTTCCAAGCCCGTGGCAGCAGGGGGGAGGGGGAGAGGGGAGACCCCGGCCAAGGGCCGTGGTGCCCAGCCTGGCACCTCTAGTGGGCCTATGGTAACCAGCCCGGCCTGTTTGGGAGCCGCAGGAAGGCAGCTTGAGGGGAATGGGGGGGGGGGGTGGCATGTTAGTTATCCACAATTGTGTAGCAAGCCACCCCCAAACCAAGTGGCTTAAAACAACAGACACCGTATTTGCTGACAGTGCTGGATCAGACTGAGCAGGTCCTCATCTAGTCGGGGGGTTGGGCTGCCTGGGTGGCAGGCCTCTGTCCTTCCATCTGTCCCTCGTCCTCACGGGGCTGGGCTTCCTACCTTCCTTCCCATTTCTTTTTCTAGAGGCCACGCTGAGAGCTCACCTCCTCCGGGAAGCCCTCCGCGGTTGCCCAGAGGAGTGGCTGGCTTCCTTTTAGTGCCCACGGGTACCCATGGGCCGTGTTGAAATGGGGGTTTATGAGGGCAGGGCCGTGGCATTTATTGGTATGGGGTGTTTGTTTCTTTATTTCCATGGCTTGCGCCTAGTAACTGCTCAAGAGAATGTTTGTTAAGTAAGACCGAGCCAAAGGACTTGAGCGTGGAGGGACTTGGGGACGAAATAAGGACCTCCGTGCCTCTCCGGAAGGTCGATGCAGGGGGAGCGCCTGCGTGCTGGAGGGACCAGCCTCTGTGCCTTGTGGTTTCAGCGTCTGCAGGCAGGAATCAGGGCCCAGCCTGTGCCTCTTCAGGATTCTTCCGTGACTCCCTGAATGAGAGGTGTGCTTGCACCCTTGCACAGGGTGACCCTTGCGCATTAGAGCTTACAGTTCAGCGGCTCCAGGAGACCCGTTTTCTGCTGAACTGTTCTCTCCATTAACCGCTGCCATGCAGTGGCAAATGGCATCGGAGGGATGTTTTGAAGAAAGGTGGCCGTTTGCTGCCGATCTTGGGCCGACATTTAGAAATCCACACGAGCACCTGCCCTTTGTAATTAGAGGGGCAGAGACTCTATCGAAACGGGATTTACCTCTTTATAAAAAGCCCCTCAAGGGCGCCTGGGTGGCGCAGTCGGTTAAGCGTCCGACTTCAGCCAGGTCACGATCTCGCGGTCCGGGAGTTCGAGCCCCGCGTCAGGCTCTGGGCTGACGGCTCAGAGCCTGGAGCCTGTTTCCGATTCTGTGTCTCCCTCTCTCTCTGCCCCTCCCCCGTTCATGCTCTGTCTCTCTCTGTCCCAAAAATAAATAAACGTTGAAAAAAAAAAATTAAAAAAAAAAATAAAAAGCCCCTCAAGGGGCAGCGGGGGGCCGCGACTTCTGCGTTCCCTCCATCGTGGTCTCCTCACGCCGCGTTCTGAGCGACCCCTCTGATGGCTCCCTCTCTGTTCTGTTTGCAGGATGATGATGGGTCGCTTTGGTAAGTAAGCGTGGGGGTGGGGAGGCCCCGGGTCGCGGGCACTTTGGGGCGGTGACGGGAAGCTCACGCAGGGGGCAGGGCCGGCAGGACCCGGTGGGGTTTGCTACCGTCGGCAGCGCTGCGTCTCCGAGGAAGAGTGTGTGGATCCCCCTGGGGTCTGTCTGCTTCTCCGAGATGCCACCGGCCGGTGGGATAAGAAGAACGTGGTGGGGGTGGCGTGTGAAACGGGGCTGGTGGGGGGGAGGGGTGTCTGGGATGTGGCAGGTGCTCTCTGGGGCGGGGGGCGTTTCCAGTGGCCGTTCCGGAGAGCTGTCCCCTCCCCTCCGGAAGCATGGCACGACCCTGTCTTCATCTCAGCAAGAGGTGTCAGATACAAGGACAGCTTGGGGCGGCGTTCGAACCCCGAGGGGTGGGAGGCCCCCAGCTTCTTCTCAGCCACAGCCAGAGGCCGACTGAGTGAAGCTCCTTGCTTTGGAGAAGATTTCAAAACACAAAGCCCTCCACCCCCAAATCGCAAGTTCTCCAGTGAGCACAGCTGTTAGAAGGAAAAGTGGAGGGGCGCCTGGGGGGCTTCGCAGGTTAAACGTCCGACTTCGGCCCCGGACATGATCTCACGGCTCGAGAGTTCGAGCCCCGGGTCGGGCTCTGTGCTGACAGCTCAGAGCCTGGAGCTGTTACGTCCTCAAGCTTTCTTAAGTAGGCCTTAAGCTGCCCTGGGGAAAATCCCAGTCTTTGCTGTTTTTTTTTTTTTTGAAGTAAGCAGTTCAGTCCTTTTTAAATGTCTTTATTATTTTTTAAAGGAAGGGAGAGAAAAGGAAACCCTCCGGTGCTGAGGGCAATGGGGCGACAGTGAGAGGAGCTCAGCCCGCGGGGCCAGCGAGGGCACCTTGGGCCGACACGTGTCATGGCAGCTTGGCCCCCGCTGCCCGGGCGGGGGACACAGTGTACCCTTGTGTCACCTCCCTGTCACTCCTGTGTGGGCTCAGACCTCCGTGGAACTGGGGAGGTACAGAGGTGATCGGAGCGGGCCCTTCAGACCGTTGTTAAGTGTCTTTGATTTTCTGCACGTTGTCACGTCCCTGTTTGGCGGGGGCAGAGGGGGTGGGAGCCCGGCCGAGAAGCCCCCGCGACCCTGCAAATGGCGCAAATGGGGTGCAGGACCGTGATGCCTTGGGAAAGGGCCAGGTGTCACAGTATGAGAACGGACCCAGCTGCTGTGCCGGTGGACACGGGGGACGTGTGAGCCTTCAGGGGCCGCGGAACCAGGAGAAGCTGGTGGAGTTGTTGCTACTTTATAGGCTCGCCCTGCTTAGGAAGTGCAAGCAGGCTATTAGCGGGGGACAGGCTGTTAGCTCCGTCCCCAGCTCCGGCTTCTGCTGGCGCAAGCCCCGAGGTCCCCTGGGTACCCAGATGGCAACCTCGGCCGCAGCTGGGCCTCCGCTGGCTCTTCTCCCGTGGGATCCTTGGGGTCCCCGACAGCCCTTGGCCCACCGAGGTCTGACTCTCCTTCCCTCCTGGGTCCTGGTCCCTGGCTCACCCCTCGAGCTGGAGTCATACTTCCTAAAGCGCCCCCCAACCCCTCACTCTCCTTTTTACCCCCCACCTTGGCTTAAGCTAAAGCCACAGCCCTCGAAGTGGCCCCCAGACCCTCTCAGACCACCCCTTCACACACCCCTCGCCTCCTCCCTGGCCGCCTCCCTCCCCCGGCCTCTCTGCCTCCTGTCACGCCCCCCCCACCCCCGCCCTCCAGCTCTTGCTCTTGGAATGCTCTCCCCCTGGATTCCCCCACAGCTCACTCCCCAGCTCCTACCCAGGAGGCCCTCCCTGACTGCCCTGCCCCCACCCAGCCTGTCTCTTGGCTCCCCTCGCTGGTGCTCCCAGGGAGCTGCCACTACCTGGCAGGCTCGGGGAGCCCTCGGCGCCCTCCTTCTGTGCCTTCACACGAGGCCTCTTGAACTATAAGCATCCTTTGGGCTGGAGCTGTGTCATCCTCAGCGTGCATCCCCCTGCAGCCTCCAGCCCTGGGCTGCAGACCTGCCGGGGTGGACCCTCCTTGGCTAATGTCTGCCCGCTGGGCTTTGGGGGGGGGGGTCCTGTTCAGCACCTGTTTTTCACCTGGGCACTCTGAGCTCGGGAGGGAAGGGGGTCGCCCTCCCCCCTCCCCCCCCCCCCCCCGCCAGGCCCCCCTTCCGTGAGTCACCACTGTCCTGGCTGAGGTGGGCTGGGAGGCCCTTCTCCCCAGAGGAGCTGGGAGCTGCTGCTTGGTCTCCATGGCAACAGGCTTCCGGCTGCCTCTCCTCCGTGGCGGCCCCTCCCCTGCCCTGAGCTTCGGGACAGGGGAGCAGCTCTCCTACCCCCATCTCCTCCTCACCTCCCTCCCTTCCTGCCGACAAAGCCTCCCCTTCCCCCCCACTGCAGCCCGACCGAGCCACCTGTGCCCCTCCCGGTCACCACCCTCTGGGGCTCCTCCCCCTGCCGGACCCAGTCCCTCTGACCCTCCTTCCCAGGCCACGCTGTCTGCACCCCGCCCTGGCTCTCTTGTGCTTCTTTGTGCTTTCTCTTCCCTCTGTCTGGAATGCCCTTCCCCCTCCTCTTGTCCCAGCAAACCCCCGCTCAACCTCAAGGCTCCTGTGTGAGGCCTCCCTCAGGCCCCTGGCCCTCTGTCCCTGGGGGCCTCCAGGGACCAGGTCGGTAACACCAAGGGGTGAGCACCGAGAGCATCAGGTGATGCTGTGACCCTCAGCCTGTGTGCCGGGTCGCGGGGTGGGGAGGGCAAACTGGGGAGCCCACACCCCCACTTCCGTGGGCGGCTCGTTGACGCCAGGTGGGAATGCGTGCTGTTTGCTGCAGTTTCCCCTTCTTTTAGACAAGCCAGAAATGCCCACTTAGGTTTGAAAACTGTTAAACAGACAACAAATCGGGATGAAAGTCAGTCTCCGCGGGGTGGGGGTTGACCTTGGACAGACGGGCATGTCCTGGTTGACTTGGCCTCTCTCTGTGTCCTTTCTGGCTCCTGGTGGGTTTCCGCTCTCTTTGTGCTGTACCTCAGTTTCCCCGTCTGCCTCCACCCAGCCTGTGCCCCTCCCAGGGCTTTCCCTCTGTGACTGTCCCCAGAGTCTGCAGAGAGACATGAGGCTGGGGTGGGGCCGAGAGGGCAGCTGTGCTTGTCCCTCTGTCCTCTGTTTCATTCCTACTCCAGCCGTGAGGTGAGGTAGGGACTATCGTCACTCCCACTTTACGGAGGAGGAAACGGTAGGGAAGGAAGCAACTTGCCCAAAGTCCGGGGACTTTGAAGTCGGGATTTGAAACGGGATCTGTTTTCGTTCCCGAGGCCAGGCTTCCCTCGGGGGTGCGGCGGAGGCTGGCCCGGCCGTGCTGTGTGGTGTCGCCCCTGTGCCCCCGGTGCAGGTAGGGGTGGCTCAGGGGCGGCAGGCCTCCGCACCCTCCCGTGGCGCCCCTGCACGCCTTCGCTCCGGGAGCCCAGCGGTGGCCCAGCTAAATATACGCGGCTGACGTCAGGCTCCGCCCCGCTCCCAGGGTTTTTCTCAAGCTGCATTTAAAGTTCGTATTTTGCTTTGTAAAAGATGCAGCTTTTCTCTTCCCCTCCTTAGCAGGCTGTGGTATTGAGCCTAATCTGATTTAAGGGATTAGAAAAATAACGTCCAGCCGCCTTCACAGCAGAGCTGGAGGAGGGGCCTCTGCAAGGCCGGGGCCTCTGGTTGCTGGTGGCTTTTAGGCGGGCGAAACCGGGTGGCCCTCTCCCCAAGCACACGCGCCCCGCCATGCGTGTGTTGTATACGTGCCATGCACACACACACACGCGCGCGCACACACACACGTACACGCACCCCATGCATGCGTGTTTATGTGCTACACACATACGTGACCACGACCCCCCCACGGGTGCTCCTTGCCTCTCCCCTTCCCTCTCCCCACCCCCGAGGCCGAGGGGTCGCTACCTGAGCTGGGCTGCGAGTTGCCTCCCGGCACCCTCGGCCTTGGACCTGGAGCGCTTTCCTCTTCGGGCCAGACGGGCGGGGGGGGGGGGGGGGGGGGGGACTGGGCCGCCTCCCCCGGGAGACATGGTTCTCTGGCCGGCTTAGGTGTCAGCCTGCCTTCTGATTTCTCCCTCTCCCCTCCGTGGGTCAGACCGGGCAGTCCTGAAGCTGGCCCTGGGTCAGCTCTGGTTCTGGGCTCCCGGCCATCTCCAGACAGGCAGTGGAGACTTCCTGCTCCCACCCCACCTGATCCGGCTGGGCTCCGCAGCCCCCAGAACGCCGCGCTGGGGGTTGCCCCCAAGCCCGTGCTGGTAATAGAGGGCCTCTCTGCTGGCTGGGGTCCTCTGAGCATATGTTGCCCCGAGCACCTTCGGGGAACAGCTGGTTCCTGGAAGACAGAAGTCGGGGCCCCAGGGCCTTCCAGATGCCCTCCTCCCTTTCCCCCTCTACCCTGCCAGGGAACCCCCACAGCCCCGCATCCACTCTGAGGCCTCAGTCTCCCTGCTTGGGCTCCAGGGTGCAGCGGGCTCCGTCCAGCCTCCATGAGGCCCTGCCATGGCAGCAGCAGGCTAGAACCAGGCACGTGGCCCCCAGCCCGCCCTGCTCCCTCTTATCCATTGGGAGCCATGGTGACCTGGCCTCCATTGGCCTTACGTCAGATGGGTTCTGTGTTGACTTGGAGGGCATGGCTGGGCTCTTGGGTAGCAGAGCGGGTTAGGGCTCTCCTGGAAGAAGGCAAATGGGTGGGACATGATAGAACAGGCCGCCTCAGGCCCTGCAGAGGTCCCCGCGGAGGGGGACACCCCCCAAAGAATTGCTGGGGAGGGATTCTGGAGCCGGGTCTCCTGGTTGGTTCATTTGCTCTGAGGCAGTGCAGGGAACCAGCGAGAAAGGTGTTTCAGCCAGCAAGGAGTTGAGAGGCCAGCAGATAATATCCAGCAGACATGTAAACATTAGGTGTCCTTTCAAGTGATCGAGTGTTACAGGCAGCCCACGAGGGTCAGAGGACAGAGAGCGGGTGTGGGGCCCTCTTCTAGATGTGGATGGTCGTGGAAGGCTCTCCGGCGGAGTGATATCTGAGAGCAACCTGAAGGAAGTATGGCAGGTGGACAGCGGGTGCAAAGGCCCTGTGGTGGGCCTGTGATGGAGGAGCGGCCTGGAAGCCAGGGAGGGTGCGTGTGTTGGGTGGGGAGGGGTGACTGTGCCTGCTGGATCCCGTGGGGCACGGGAGAGGGAGCGAGCGACAAGAAACTGTTGGAGAGTTTCGGTCAGGGCAGGGATCGGGAGGGGCAAGAAATGACCCAGTCTACCCTTTAAAGGGCTCGTCGCACCTGCTAGGAGCAGGGATCGGAGGGCTGGGAGTAGAGGAGGGAGGCCAGGTAAGGAGGAGGCCGCCGCCACGTGAGGGCAGTGGGGCAGGCGTGGGGCTGGTAGCCGGGCTGGTGGGGAGACGCGCTCAGAGGCTCCAGCGACATTTACTGGTACGCGTGGCGAGGGGGGGGGGGGGGAGGGGGCAGACGAGGATTCCTGGAGTCTGAGGATGTGATGGGGGCGGGTGTTCAAGTGCCGCCCGTGAGTTCCATGTTGCAAGACAGAAACTGACTTAGAGGAGGCATCTTTTCCTTGATTTTGTCCCTCATCTGCGCCTGCCCTCGGGCTCTGGTGGGAATGAGGGGGATTCTAGGCGGGTGAGAGAGTCAGGGGGGCGGGACATCCCCGGAGGCGGGCTCCGAAGCTGCCCGGTCCCCGGGATGGGGGGGGGCGGCCCGTGCGTTTCCATAAACCCCACCCCGTGTCTCCTCCCCTTTGCCTGTCCACGCAGAGCGGGACGCCTTCGACACCCTGTTCGACCACGCCCCGGACAAGCTCAGCGTGGTGAAGAAGGTAGGCCCTGGGCTGGGCTCTCTGCCTCTGTCTCCAGGCTTTTTTACTCGGTGCTGGGAAGAAGGTGGGAACACGTTTGCAATCTCTGAAATGTTTGCCACATGGATTGAAGTGTAATTATAGGCAAAAACGTAACTACAGTGCATAAAATTAGCACCTTTTAACTCAACATCTCCGCTCCCCGGGCGTCTTCCTGCCCGCCCCGCCCGCTCCTGTTGGGTGAATTGTCCCGCCAGGGCCACTGTGGTGCTTCGTTCCGACTCGGGGCTCTTTCTCAACATGGGAATGTTTTCAAGCATGTCCACCTGCTGGCTCTTGCAGGCCTCGTGGCCATGAAGCTGTATTCACAACCTGCCCGGTTAGCAGGCAGGCCTTCGAGCTGCTCTGTGCGTGCACTTGGCCCATTCCCCCACCGCCACGCAGGAGCGCAAGGACAGGCCCCCTCCCCGCCCCGCCCCCAGCCCAGGCAGCCTGCGCGTAAGACCCTGGATATGGAGCAAACCGGGCCAACCGAGACTGGAGTCAGGGGCTGGGGAATGACGAGCCTCCAGGGGCATCCGCCAGGAGGGACTGTTCTCGCCCAGAAGGAATCGAGACCCAGCCCACTGGAGTTCTCTGAGCGCCTGCAGACGCCTCCCTCGAGGAGGCAGCGGGAGGGTGGATGCGCTTTCCGCCTTCCTGTGAAAGCCAAGGAGCAATCGTTTCTGCCCTTGACCTGGGGGAGAGAGCGCTTTGTCTGGGACAATTTCCCAGAACGGGTTTCTTAATGCAGGACTTCTCAGGGCCTTTAATATGCTGCCGTGCATTGGAATTCTCCAAGAGGGGGCTGGGTAGGGAGCATTTTCCAAACTCGTTTGTCGATAGTGACATCTGTTGATCCATTTATTTTGTTAAATACATTAAATTAAATTCCTATGGAGCCCACTTTTGGAAAATGCCGGTCCAGCCTGGGACCATGAGATTATGAGTTCTTGGAAGTACTTTGCAAAAGGCTGGCACAACCATCCCAGTGGTCCTTCTGGGGCGGAGCCTTCTTAGCATCCTTGGGTCACGAGTGGCCCGCCTTGGGGCCTCAGAGCAGTGCCGCTCCCCCCTCCCCCTGCCACATCTGGCCCCCAGCAACCCTGACAGAACCGTCTGGATGCACAGGGAGATTCAAATCTGGCTGCCCCATCTATCAACTGCGTGACCTGAGGCAGACGATAAGCGTACCTCAGTTTCCCCATCTGTCAGGGCCAAGGCAGGACTCCCCTCTCCGGGGCTCTGTGAGAGCAGCATATAATCAGGTCCAGCAGAGGCCTAGCACGAAGTGTATCAGCTATCGCTGAGTACGATGTGGTTAAGGTTCAACTTTCAGTAGATAGGCTGTTAATTCGTTCTTCGAAAAGACATAGTTTGGGGCCCTGGGGACCCCAGTGATGACTAAGGCCAAATCCTTTTATCTGCCTGACACCTGACGCCTTCCTGCTTCCAGCCCGGCCCTTCCCCACCCCCACATCGAGAGTGGCCGTGTTAGTGGCTGCCCGTACCCCAGAATAAAAGCCGGGAGTACCCTGCCCCCCTCTCCGGGGTCACCCCTCCTGCTCTCTTCCATCCCGTCACATCCAGCTGCAGCCTGAAGACCCCGGCATGTTCGCGGCCTGGGTGCCTGCTCTGCCCACCCCCCACTCAAAGGCTCCCTCCTCTGGCATCCTCGGGGGGCCGGGGGGGGGGGTCCACACGCCTGCCTCTGTGCCCAGCAGACCTTCACGTCTTTCACATGTTCCGCTCTGGCTCTTGATTTCTCTTGTCGCCTCCACCAGCTGTGTAGGGAGAATCCTGCCACAGGCTTATCCAGGTGGGTCCCCCCCCCCCTCCCGTCTTACGGTCTTCCTGCCCCCAGCGCCAAAGTGCCTGGCACGTAGCGGCTGCTCAATAAATCTGGGGAGCACGTTTGAGGACATGGCATCGTGTCTGGGGTGGGGCTGGTGTTGAGTCCCCGTCGGCGTTGGGATTTGCTGGCTGAGAAAAGTGACAGGTGACAAGTTGTAAACGTTTGCTGGCGAGAAGTCGGTGGCCCTGCCTCCCTGTGATCAAGCTTACTGAAGTGTCCTGAAACTGACGAGTGTGACCCCTCTCAGCCTTTGGTCGTTCGAGGTCACATCTAGGATACATTTAAAAACGTAATCACCTTCCCCTGACGGTGTTATCCTTCTGAAGGGCGCTGAGGATTCTTCTAGAGGATTGTTAACTACGTGTGTGGGGGGGGGTGGGCGGGGGCGGGGGGCGGGGGGATAGAGATGTGAGTTTTCTCCTCCAGCTGGGATAGATTTAGGCTTTATTCCATTAAAACTGAGGGTCGCTGTAAGAACGTATCATTTCCCACATGAGCCTTTTATTTTAGCAAACAGATTAGGGAAGCGTCTTACAAAGCCAGTGACGGCCAGTGTCACGGCCGTCCCGTTGGACGGGAGGTACATCTCTTGCTCACGGCTCCTGTCTCTCTCTCTGCCTTGACAGTCTCTCATCACATTTGTGAACAAGCACTTGAACAAGCTGAATTTGGAGGTGACCGAACTAGAGACCCAGGTGAGCAGTGTTTGGGTTGAAGCATGTGTCCCCGTTTTCGGCCAGTTTTTGGATCCCGGCTGGGCCGTGTGAGCAAGGCCGGTGCCACCTTGTTCGTCTGCAAGGAATGCCCACCCCACAGCCGGAAGAGCTGGCCTCCTCCGCTCTGGCCTTCTCTCGGGGCCTCTGTCCTAACTTCCTGGGGCTACTGGAAGAAAGAGCCCCAGACTGAGTGGCTTCTACCTGAGACATTTACGTCCTCACGGTCCTGGAGGCTGGACGCCCCAGATCAACGTTGGGAGGGTTGCTTCCTCCTGAGGCTGTGAGGGGGGCTCTGTGCCAGGCCTCTCCCCAGCTGCCCGGTGGGGCTGCTGGTGATTCTTGGCTTCCGTCGGGTGAGAGATGCCTCACCTCGTCGGGTTATAGATCTCTGCCTTCATTGTCACATGGCATGCCCCCCGTGTGCGCGTCTGTGTGTCCAGATTTCCCCTTTTAGTAAGGACATGGGTTATGTTGGATTAGGGCCCGTTCTAGTGACCTCATCTTTAACTCAAGTTACTTTAGTAGTGACTATTTCCAAATAAGGTCATGTTCACGGGTTCTACGGGTTAGGACTCCCAGCACATCATTTAGGGGCGCACAATTCAACCCGTAACACCCTCTGACTTGCCACCCCCCCCGCCCCCCGGCCCCCCGCCGAAGGGCATTTGCGCGTGCAAGTTTTTCAGTTTAGAACATTCCATCCCCCACCCCCCACTTCTGTTCTCCATCACTATCCTTATTGAGCAAGTGCTCACTGAATACCTGTCCAGTGAGTGTGCACAAAATCGGGCTTCTGCAGGAAGTATATAAAATATACTCCCCCACCCCCTCGGAGCTAATCACATAGCGAAAATATGTTTCGAGGACTCAGTGGGCATTAAGCACAAAATATAATTTTCCCAGGATTAGCTGGGTGCTTGAATTTGTGGAGTCTTTATAAAGTTCTCGGTACAGAGTCCTCCCACCCACCGCTGATCCTCTTAAACCCCTGGGTGATTGCCTCCCTCCGTTCCTGTCTGTTTCTTTACCTTTCCTCATTTGCTTTCCTAATTAAAAAAGTAATTCAGGTTCATCGTGGAATGTCTGAAAACGCAGATAAGCAAAGCAAATAAAAATCACTCCTAATCCCGACTCCCGGAGATGGCTGTGCTGAGGGTTTCGTTCCAGACCTTTTCTCTGCACGGCTGGCTAATCGTGGACAGTGCGGGTCCGTATGGGAAAGCCAAACGGCCCGTTTCTAATGAGTGTGTTTATTTGCGCACTGTTTGCAGAGACATTCGTTGTTGTTGCAGTTTACGGACATTGCACCCCTCGCCTCTCAGTATTTGCTGTTCGGTCCATCAGCAGTCCCGAAGTGTCCTAACACGTCATCCTTTGTCCCTCCCCGTCTGCCCCCTTCATCGTCTCCAGACCTCACTAACCACAGTTCACGGTTGATGTGTATTCTTCCAGGTGGCTCTTATGCATAAATGTATTTTTTTTTAACAACAACATATCATACTGTGCAGCTCTCTTGTGATGTGGTTTTCGTTACTTAATTTATTGCCGGCATCTTTTGGTTGGAGCCTGTGTGTGTGTGTGTGTGTGTGTGTGTGTGTGAGCCTGCCTAATCGTCCTCCGGTTGCCTGGTCTGTCTGTCCACACGCGTCGCCTCTGGGGACTGCCTTCTGTTCCGTCCTGGGGCTGCAGCGTGCTTCACTGAGGCAGCTCCTCGTTGCCGCCTTGCCCTGGGCCGTGGGGAGCTGTCTGCACACAGCTCTTGGTCTCCTTCTCTGGGACGCGCTCCTGGAAATGGGGCTGTTGGAGCAAAGGCGGTGACGCTTTGAGGGCCCAGGAAGGTTTGCGCACCTGAACATCACGGGCCGTGCTAGCCATTCCCGGCTGTCACTTCCCTGATGGCCCACACACCAGTATCGGTCACCGGACGTCTGGACTGAGACAGTCTCTTCAATTTGCATTGATCTTTATTTACTCAGTATCCCCCCCTCCCCCTTTTCTTCCTATCACCACACTTAGCGTAGTATCCGAAAAGTATTTTTAACCACTCACTGGTCCAGCAGAAAAGATCACTGGCCATAGAAAGGCAAGGAACTGTTTCCTTTTGTTGCAATGGAATCCGGGTATTTGTTTTAATGTTTTATTTATTTTTGAGAGAGAGAGAGAGCAGGGGAGGAGCAGAGAGAAAGAGAGAGAGAGAGGATACAAAGTAGGCTCTGTGCTGACAGCACAGAGCCCAACGTGGGGCTTGAAACTCACGAACCGTGAGATCATGACCTGAGCTGAAGTCGGACACTTAACCGACTGATCCACCCAGGTACCCCGTTTTTTTTTTAAGTTTATTTATTTTTGATAGAGAGGGAGCGCCAGCAGGGGAGGAGCAGAGGTGGGGGGCAGAGGATCCAAAGTGGGCTTTGCTCTGACAGCTCAGAGCCCCAGGCGGGGCTTGACCCGCTCAGTCAGTTAAGCGTCGGACTTCAGCCAGGTCACGATCTCGCGGTCCGTGAGTTCGAGCCCCGCGTCGGGCTCTGTGCTGACGGCTCGGAGCCTGGAGCCGCCTCGCGATTCTCTGTCTCTCCCTCGCTCTCTCCGCCCCTCCCCCACTCGTGCTGCCTCTGTCGCTCTGAAAATAAATAGATAAACTTAAAAACAGTTAGAATTTAGGAACTTCCGTCTTCCACGATGACGTGAGTTCCGGGAACAGACAGCAGTGATGGTCGCCCGCGGCGCGAACGGACTCCGTGCCGCTGAGAAGCGGTCAAAATGGCAGATTTCACGTTATGTGTGAAGGAGGACGAGTCCACAACATCCAAACAAAGAAGTGTCTCGTTCCAATAGGTGCCGCGGCCTGTCGGGACAGCACAGGCTCAGACGCCCGGAGGCTGGGGTCCTCACAGGGCTGGCCCCGCAGGGGACCCAGCAGGTCTCGACCCTTCAGCGACGCCATGTCTGTCCTCTGGGGCGATGGCCAAGACCCCCCTCCCCCTTCCCCTCCCCACCCCCCCGGGGCCTCCTGTGCCTCTCTTGTCCCCTCGCCCTCGCCGGTCTCCGCTGCTTTCTCTTTCAAAGCTGGAGCTGCTCCCTGGCTTATTGGGGTGGGGGAGGGCTGTCTGCCAAAGAGGGGGGGGTCTTTTGTTCTAGATGCCCGGTCCCCGCTGTGGGGGCAGGTGCTGCTGGGCCGGGTGGCAGGGAGAGGGGCTGGGTGGGGGTCTTGAGTGAGGGCCGCAGCCCGACCCAGTGCCACCGGCCTTCAGGGCCCGGCTAGGTGCCCACGTAGATAGACACACGGGAGCTCTTCGTCACCGGGGCTCGAGCGTGGGAAAGCGCGGCTAGAAGAAGTTGTTCCATCAGCTGCCAAGGTGAGCGGGTGGGCCCCCCGCCCCTCACGGGTGGGTCGCGGCGGCGGCTGACTCACCCCTGCCGGGGCCGCCCGGCCCGCCCTCTCGTCCGCATGCCAACCCTGAGAGATGGGGGGCAGTGTTCCCCCGGGGGCAGCGGTGGGGGGCGGGGTCTAGCAGCCGGGCCGTCCGTTCCTAGCGCCGTGGCCCTGACCGCGTGGGCATGCTGCAGCCCCAGACACCTGCACGGCCCCGTCAGTCCCGAGCCAGACGCTCTGCGCCCGGGGCCTTTCCCTGATGGCGGGTTCCGGCCCCAACGAGGGACGGAGCTCTTCCCTTAAGACGTCTTCCTTCTCTTGAACGCGTGTGGAAGGTTTGCCCACCCCGTGTACAGCCCCGAAACCTCACCGAGTGCTTCTCTGCAGTTCGCAGATGGGGTCTACCTGGTGCTGCTCATGGGCCTCCTGGAGGACTACTTTGTCCCCCTGTACAACTTCCACCTGACCCCAGACAGCTTCGACCAGAAGGTACGTGTGTGGTCCCCGTCCTCAGAGTGGCCCGGGAATGTGCTCGTTACCAGGGCACCTCTGGCCCCAGCTGCTTCCCGGGTGCCGTTTTCAGTGGGGGCACAAGGTCCCACGGGGTGGCTCGGGCACCGCTGTCCCCCGGCTCCCCGTTCGGAGGCAGTTAACTTCTGCTTTTTTCCCATTAAGATAATAGGGAGGGGCATCTCGAACGTGTGTGAGTGTGTGTCCGTCCTTGTGGATTGTTTTCTAGGAGAATTCCCCAAATAGGATCGTTTTGGCCCAGGGGCCTAACCTTTGGGGCACCTGGGGTGGCTCGGTCAGTTGAGCATCTGACTCTTGATTCCGGCTCAGGTCACGATCCCAGGGTCGTGGGATTGAGCCCCGCGTTAGAGTCCGTGCGAGCGTGGAGGCTGCTTGGGATTCGCCCCTCTCCCCGCCTTGCGCTTTCTTTCTCTAAGATAACAGAAAAAAGGGGCCCAACCCGTGAACGTGGGCCGCCGCGTCCCCTGTGTCACTGCTGTTTGCGGCCAGGCGTTTTTGCCTCCGGCTCAGGGCTTCCTGAAGTTCAGCCCCTCCAGACAGCGGCTCGTGCGTTGCCTTGCGAAACTTGGCTTGCAGGGCTGTTCAGATTGCTTTGGACTCCCAGGCGTCTGTCATCTTATTTTCCCAAAGCGCTAGACCCGTGAGTCAGAGAGGCGGACAGCGCCAGCGGGTGACGGCAGCCAGGGAAACCTCCGACGGTGGGGCCGGGGCTCATCAGTCCACGTGCTTCTGGCCACCTTGCAGGCCGTTCGCTCGCGGCCGAATGTTGTTCCTGCCTTGCTGCTGAGACGGACTCAGAGCAGAGCAGAGAGGTCCTGGAACGTTGGAGCCGCGCTGAACAGAGACAGCACGAGCAAGAGGGAGTGAGCAGTGTCTGTGCTGTTGTTCCGGAAACGAGCACGCAGATCACTTGCTCAAGAGGCTCCTGCGTTCCCAGGCCCGACGTGGCTGGTCACAGATGCGTTGCTTTCTTTGTTCAGGTTCATGACGATGCTGGCACGCATGGTTAATTGAGCCAAGTGACTGGAACCGGGCTTCTTTCCGAGCTGAGGCTGTGCAAATGGCCGGGGCACCATCTCCCCGGCCCCGGTCTTATTCCCTCTGAAACAGAGAGGAGAGTTTTTGTTGGTTGCTGGCCTGGCCTGGGAGGCGTGAGAGGCCCGAGTGGCCGACCGCCTTTGCCCCTGCGTGAGAGCCGTGAGGGGAAGGCTGTGTCAGGGGACGGCGTCTGGCACACCGGGAGCCCGAGGGGGGGGGGCCCTGGATGCAGCTCTGTGGGCAGGTGGAACCCACCTTGGGGAGGATGCTGGAATTGTGGTGGATTCTTCTCTGGCACCCCTGCCCTCCCCCGGATCCTCTCCCTGCTCCTCCTGGGGAGTGATGGTCACCACAGCAGCCACTGGCAAGTTCTTTGTGTGCTCGCCGTCTTTATTAGCCTCTGGTCATCAGGACCAGCTCACGGGCAGTGGTGTCTCCCACTGCATAGACCTGAACTCGCTCTAGGCTGGTCCGTGCACTCAAGCTCTCCAGCACTGCGTGTAGATGGGCAGGTGGGCCGGGGCTGCTGGGGGACCACCCACAAAGTATCCTCTGGGGCCCAGACTCTGTGGGGCGCGTTTGCTCCAACCCTGAGAATGTAGCAACTCTGTATTTCCAGGACGAGGGCGGGCGCTATGGTTCAGTGAGCAAAATGAGAGATATATCAAGGGCTGCTCTCCCCAAGCAGAGTGAGGACCTGTGTTTTTAAACAGTCGTACTGGATTTTAAAACATGAGACCAGACGGCTCAGACGCCCTAGGCTTCTGCACACAAACAGTACCCTTTGAACTGAGCCGTCGGTGCGACCAGTGGCTTTTTGTTGTTGTTGTTGTTTAATTGTTTTAATGTTTATTTTTTAGAGAGAGAGACAGAGACAGAGTGTGAGCCGCGGGAGGGGCAGAGAGAGAGAGGGAGACACAGAATCCGAAGCAGCTCCGGGCTCTGAGGTGTCAGCACAGAGCCTGACGTGGGGCTCGAACTCATGGACTGTGAGATTGTGACCTGAGTCAGAGTCAGATGCTTAACTGAGCCACCCAGGCGCCCCTTTTTGTTCTATGATCTTACTCTGTGGTAGCCACTTTGCTCAGTACCCTGTGCCCATCAGTTACCTTTCTGGAAGACTCCACAGCATCCCTTTCTGTGGGGACTGCAGTGCATCCTGGAGATTCAGCGGTGGTTCTTAACAGGCGTTCTCAGGGTGCTCCTTTCCTTGTGTCCCCCCATCTGATTCTCTCCCTCTGGACAAGGAAACAGAATCTCAAAAGGGCTGAGACACAGCCCAGGCTCACACAGTCAGCAGGGCAGAGCTGGAAGAGCCCACTCCTATTCTGGAACCTTCTATTCCTCTGTCACTTGGCCAGGTTTTCAAAAATCCTTTGAATTGCAGCAAGAAAGGATTGCGGGGCGTCCTGGCCGTGTGGAGGGCTCCCAGGGGCAGCGTGGGGCTTTGGGGCACGGCTGTTAGCTTTTCTGTCTGCCCCATTCCGGGGGGCCCGGGCTCAGGGGGGGCTTCTCTGCGGGTAGGAAAGGTCAGTGGCGGCGATGGCGTGGCTGAGACGAGAGTAGGGTGGTGGTGACTTCCTGTCTGGCAGTTTCCTCAGACTGAGAAGGAAGCGGAAGGAAACTTGCCCTGCTGAGCCCAGTAGCTGCAGGGAAGGGGGTCTGGGCGGGAACTGCTCTCTGCAGGAGCACTTTCGAGGAGCCGTCTCTCTCTCGCTCTCTCTGTCTCTGTCTCTGTCTCTCTCTCTCTCGGAGTCTCGGGTCAGGTCCCGCTGTGTGGCGAACGGGGACACTCGTCCTGTTCGTTCCCGGCCTCTGCTCGAGAAGGACCCTCGGGCCTGGAAGAGGCCGTGAGAAGATGTCCCGAGTCGGGCCGCTCGAGGAGCCTTCCAGACCCAAGTCTTCTTCCCGTCTCTCCCTCTCTGCCACCCTGTCTCCGTCGCGACTCCGAGCCTCTTGTGCCCGTGTGGAGTAGGTGGGCTGGACGGTGCCGGCCAGCGTAGGAAGGGGCACGGATCTGAATCCTGCCTCCGACTCGTCCAGCCCCGAGCCTCGCTTGGCACAGGCCTCCTAACCCATCTCAGCCCCGGGGCCTCCTTCGCAAAGTGGCCGGGACATAGCCCACAGCCCTCCTCCGGGCCGGCTCCGCGCACCTCGGGCTGGGCGTCCGACATCCTGCCTGGCCTTCCCGTTTGGCCTTTTCCGAAGGCCTCGGGAATGGCCCGGGACCCTCCGGCCCCCTCCATCTGGCCATTTGCAGCCCCGCCCAGCCCTGGGTGTGAACGGCCTGGGCTGTCCCCTCATTGGACCCCTCCCCGCACTGGATGCCTCCCCACACCGGGCCCGTCCCCGACCTGGGCCCCTCCGCCTGCCAGTGCTGCTGGGGGGCCCTAGAGGCCCCTCCACGGTACCCCCAGGCTGCTGTGGGTTTGCCAGCTGAGGGTTATTTCGTCACACATCTTTTTCCTGGTTAATTATTAAAACTAAGTAAAATGCTCATGTTCTGGTTCACTTACACTGAAATCCTGAAGGTGTTACTGTGGAAAGGATGTTTGATTACTCAGAGCCCCGGGGTCCTTTCCAGCTCTGACTCTGCTCTGTGTTTTATTTTTGGTGCCCCCTCGTCCGATCTCTAACAACCTTTGCGCTCGGGAGACGGCTGGCTGTGCTTTGGTCACCCTGCGTCTCTGTGATGCAGGTGGATAAACACAGCAGACAGGGTGTTATTTTCAGTCTCTTCACGACGTGTTAGCAGAACACAAGCTTTCAGTGTCCTTGCGGGCCGAGTGGGGCCTTTTCATTTCGGGAAGATTCCACGTGGGGGTGGGGGTGGGGGCGGGGTCCGCCTTCCTGTGGCATCCAGCAGGTGGAGGCCAGCACCAGGGGGCCCCCGCGGCCTGTCACCTGCAGCCACCATTGTGCTGGCGTCAGTCCCAGCAGCGTCCCCAGTGCCTGCCCAGTGCCTGGGCCACCGCTGCCCCCGAGGCCCGTGTCCTGCCCGGCTACGCACACAGGCTCCGTGTGTGAGGCCCTCCCAGCACATGGTGGGTGGCCGCTCGGTGTACAGGGCTGAGGGCCTCTGGGATGTGACTTGTCCTCTCTGAGCCTCATTTCTAGAACAGGGTCACTGCCACTTCTCATCGTGTGGCCCTCAGCAGAGCCGGCCCTTGGGGACGCCCGAGCCCTTGAGGGTGGGTTTTGTGCCTTCCCCCCCTGCACCTCTGAGCCGCCTCTGATCACTGGTGAGGGCAGTGAGAACCATCTAGTAAACATCTCCACCCTTCCCTGCTCCCCCGCCCACCCCATGCCCTGCCCCTGCCCGCCCGTGCCCTGCCCTGGGCCGCTTGGGTCCCAGGGGATGTGCCGACTCCAGGGCTCCCTCTGGCCGTGTTTGTTCCCACCTCGTCCTTTCAGAAGAGAAGCAGCGGGCAGCGGGCGGGCCTGGGAGCGGCTGCAGAGCCTGACCCCTGCTCTTGCTTCCTGGGCAGGTCCACAACGTGGCGTTTGCCTTTGAGCTGATGCTGGACGGAGGCCTCAAGACCCCCAAGGCTCGCCCTGAAGGTAATGCCCTGCCCCCGGCCCTGCCTACCCCAGCCCCGGTGTCCCCCCTCCCCCCCCCCCATGCTCGTAGCTTCGGGGACCAGGGCCCGGGGGACTGTGCTGGTTTTTAGCAGCCCCTGGACTTGGAGGGCGTGGCCTCCGCCCACGAGCCTCAGGACCTTTGTCCCCCTGCGGGTGCCAGCGCTCAAGCTGAAGATGCTCTTTGCCGCAGTCAGATGACCGTTGGGTTGATGTCCCTGACGGCCGGCAAAGGGCAAGGGCTTGTGAGCAGGGACGAGGCGCGATCATGCCGTGTGGGGGTCTGAATAGCCGCAGGGAGGCCCGGGGAGCCGGTGGTGTGGCCGCCCGAGCAGGGAGCCTGGGGGACCAGGAGCGGGCCTGGTGCCTTCCTCGGACCTGCCCATTCTCAGAGGGCATCGGGCCTGTTGGCCGCCTCCGGCTCGGTGGCTCCTGACCTCCCGTCGCTGCAGCCGTGGCCGGCGGCGGGAGGGTGCCGGGGCCGAGGCCTCAGGACCAGGGAGACCCTGGGAGCCCCGGGTGTCGGTGGGAGCCCCTGAGTTCATTCTGAGGGTGAACCGGCGGGCAGGCCGTTTCTCCTCTGCGAGTCTCGGTCTCCTGTGCCAAACGGGAAGGCAGGGGGGGAGGGTTATGCCAGCGCCCTGCGCTTGCCTCCTGCTCTGACAAGCCGGGCTTGGAAACGCTCTGGGACTCCGTGTAAGGACAGCTGTTGGCTCACGGCAGCCCCTCAGCCTGCCTTCCGTAAGAGATGCTATTTTTGCTTCTGGGGTCGAGTCCCTGCAGGGGGAAAGCAAGGTGATCATGCTCTGGCCCGACAAGGGGCTTTTGCATCCCCTGCCAGTTCTACAGGGGAACAGGACTGGGGCCCAGAGCAGGGATGTCACTTACCTGAGGTCACAGGGCAAGTGAGAACACCCAGGTGCCCAACATCCAGGAGGACCGGTCCCTTTCCCACCAAAGAAGGCAGCCTAGACTTAGTAGGCTGTCGGATCCTCCGAGGGTCCTGCCGTGGGCTACCCCCGGCCCCGTCGCCTGACCTCGAGGGGGCGGGATGGAGTAGCAGCCCCCACCCCGCCCTGCCCCAGAATGCCCACCGTCGGTCCTAGCACCGGATGGCCCGTGGGAGTTGGACCCAGCAAGCATCCTTGGCTGTTGGAGACCCCGCACCACGTGGACACCGCTGGTCCCCAGACCGGCCTCGCTGCACACTCTGTCCTGGCCATCCCAGCTGCTCACTGAGCGGGCAGGTGGCCTGGGGGCCCCTGTGGCAGTCTGTGTCTCGGGACGGCGCTGCCCAGGGCGTCCCGGGTGTGGTGGCTGTCGGTCTTTAAGCCAAAGTGCTCCGCTGTGGACGCGACAGCTGCCCCGTGTGGTCCTGTGTGCTGGCACTCGGGCTCACATGTCCTCACCCCACCCACGGTTTCTGTTTCCTTCCACAGATGTGGTAAACCTGGATCTCAAGTCCACACTGAGGGTCCTTTACAACCTGTTCACCAAGTATAAGAACCTAGAGTGACCTCGGAGAGCAGCGGAAACCCCTGTGCAGGGCGGGGAGGCCCGCTGGCTTCCCCTCCGAGCCAGGGTTACCCCCGCCCCCACCCCCACTCCACCCGGCCTTTTCGGGTCGTTGCTCTCAAACTCCCTTGTGCAACTCCTGTAACTCTGCAGCGGGCAGGACCCTTGCGAATCCGGGGTTCTGCGCCCCTGTCTCGTTTGTGGCTCCTCCAGTGCCCCGGTCGCACCCACACCCCCCAGCCCGTGGGAGGGGCACCCTGCGATCCTCTGGACCCAGCGAGGAACCGCCCCGGGCGATGAGAACAGAATCAGTAGCTCTACCCGAGCCGAGACTCCGCTGGACCGTTCTGGGGGAATCTCCATGGAAGCCAGACCTTTTCCGTAAAAAGCATTTTATGGTTTTAAAAACTGCTTTTAAAGTCCCAGAAGCTTTCGATGGAACAGGAGGGCCTGGGCCGTGGTCTGCTTCTTGACCGGTGTTCTTTCATTCACTTTTTGCATGAACATCTAAGACCCAGATGACCCGCTGCCGTGGTGTGGGAGGAAGGATTTGCTGAGGCTATTTCTGTATTTCTTTTCTTCTTCTTCTTCTTCTTCTTTTTTTTTTTTTTTTTTGTGACAGCCAAATGGGTTGTGTTAGGAGCTACACCTAAAATGTTGCTCCATCCATCTCAGAGGCCCTGTTTGGGAATAGATGCGTTTTTCAAACTTCTAGAAAGGGGAGTCTATCAGCTTGCCAGGGGCTTCTAGAACAAGGTGCCACAGGCAGGGGGCTTAGGCAGCAGAAGTGGGTGGTCTCCCAGCTCTGGAGGCCAGAAGTCCCAGCATCACGGTGTTGGCTTACAGATGGCCGTCCTCCCCCCTGTGTCCTCGTGTCGTCGTCCCTATGAGTGTCTGCGTCCTGATCTCTTACAAGGACACCAGTCATAATGGATCAGGGCCCCCCCATGTGACCTCATGTTAACATACGGACCTCTGTAGAGACCCCGTCTCCAAATACAGTGGCATTTTGAGGTACTCGGGGTGAGAGCTTCAACGTACGGACCCCAGGGGACACTGTTCAGCCCTTAATGGGGGGATATGAAGTGCTCCTCCCCCTCCTCCCGAGTGTGGCTTTCTAGAACCCTGCTGGCCTCTCCCGCTGGTCGCTTGGTGCCACCCGCCCTCCTCCCCTGTCCACCTTGGCTCAGGAGAGAAATAGGGCCGTCCTGCTGTCCGTAGGCACCGTCGAGCTGGTGTGTCCTACTAAATCGAATGCCAGTGCTCACGGCTCACAAAACGGCTTAATATTCTGGCTCAGCCCCACTGCTTCCAGGCCGGGGCTAGTTTCAGAATCGCCGTTTTGATGGAGGTGGCTTCCCAACGGGGGAAGGAAATAATTAAAACAGCATTACCGTGGTTCCTACGGATGCAGTGACATTAAAGATCCACGTTGACAAAACAGCCAGGGCTGGAAGGTTCCGTGCTGACTTCATCACACGCCTAGAATGCCAGCGTCCTGAAAGCCGTGGAGACCAGTCGTCTGGCCCCGTTCACAGGCAGGCTTGGCGAGGGTGATCCCTGGGGGCCCAGGGGGCTGAAAGGGGGTAGGAGTGGGGACACGGGATTTGGAAAGCACACGACCTTGGGGTTTTCAGCCCAGACAGGCTCCGCACCGCGAAAGGGAGGAAATTGCCCTGGAAGGCAGGGGGGCTCCGCGTTCCCAGGCGACGAGCCCTCTTCAAGCCCTGTGTGTTTCTGGTCGGAGGGTAAGAGGGATACTAAGATCCGGGTCAACCATGAACAGGCACCTTGGCCTCACAGTGCTGACTGCCGAAGGCCGTGGGTCCGGCAAAAGATGTCATCTCTCCAAACCGGTTTTATTCGAGTTGGATCAGGGGGGTGGAGGTGCCTTCCACACACCTGTAAGGGGCCCTGGAGCTGTATACACCTCATTTGCCTCCCTCCCCCATCCAGTGAGAATCGGAGTTGAAAGCATGGCCTGGACATTTGCACAGTTGGGGGGGGAGGGGTGCAGATGTGAGGCGGAGGGCAGGGCCACCTCTGGGGACAGTCCCCCCCCCCCCTCTGATCAGCCCCAGTGGCCACACTGGGGCATCTTCTTGGGGTGACTCGGGCAGCAGAAGCAACTTTCCTTAATCCCGGAAAGTTCTAGAACCCTTCCTCAAGTGACCCACATTTTCAGTGAATTGTGTTTCCACGAAGGAGGCCCCTCCACAGGAACTAAGGAAAAGCCAGCTCATTTGCGCCCGAGCGGCGATGGCTCAGGGTCTCCGGGGCCCGAGTGCGGGGTCGGGCGGGGGTGGTGAGCTGGTCACCTTTGATCCTCCTCCGAGTGGCTTTTGTTCGCGTCCTCCGCTGGCCACGGGGAAGCCGCCTGCAGCTTCGTTCCCCTTGTGACAGCCGCGGGGTCTCCTGTAGGCCGAGCCCCGTGTGCCCCAGTGTCCTAACTGCATGTGACAGAGAGCTGTGTTTTAAAGGAACCAGATGCTTTCTTCAGCCCCTTCGTGTGCCGGTGTTTCACAGCCTTTTTAATTGTTTGAAGCCGTGTCTGTTTTGGGTTTCTGGATATTCAAGAAAAGCCGCTAAAACCCTGGCTGTGCTGTTGTGCTGCCCGCCTGGCTGGCCGCGGGAAACTGAGGCTTTTCCTGAGTGCGGCTGGCCAGCACCCTCTATGCAAACCTGATCTGTCCTAAGCCGGAGACTCGGTCAGGAGGGTGCCAGGAAGTGCCAACAGTGTGCTGTTATTTATTCCAATAAAGAACTCGAGAGCGTGGGGCCGTCCGCTGCTTGTGTCTGGTTTTTCTCTCCTGCGCTTAGGGGTCATCGGTTCGCGCCAGCCCGGTGCTGGGGGCTGGGACACACAGAAGCTCCAGGAGCTTCCGATCGGACCGGGCCTGCTGGACAGCGGCGCTGTCTCAGGGGGTGGTGTCCTTACGCTGCAGGGCGAGGGACCCGAGTGGCCCTCGACGGTGGCCAAGGGCTCGTGCTCCACGCTGGCCCTGCTGTGAGCCTTCCCTGCAGAAGTCACGGGGTGATTCGGGCACCTCGGAAAGAATCCCCGATTGCCGCCCCAAAGAACCCAGGCTTCGGAGAATTGCCTGGTCCAAGCCCGCTTTGTTCCCATGTGACTGCTGGCTGGTTAGTTCTCCCTCGCTTTCCACGGTGGGAACGTCCCTCCAGTTTCCCTCCCTAAAGAGCCACCTTCCTTCATCCAGGTTCGGTTGCCTGTAACTGGGGCCGCTGTAGTTGCTCGAGGCAGAGAGGAATCGAACGCAGGAAATGAGGTGACCCCAGAGCCACGGGAAGGCTGGCGCGGCAGGCTGGGGACAGACCCCCACGGAGGACGCTTCGAACCGCACCGTGGTGCCGGCCGTCCCTGCCGTGACCAGGAGGCTGCTGAGTGGCTGCTGCCCCGCGGTTTCAATTTCGAGCCGGATACTTTCCGTCCCCCTCTCCAGATAGATGCCTCTCCAGCGTTTTCCGCGCCGGCCTCGCGGACTGCGTCCGTGCGCTGCCTTGCCTCTGGCTTCCGTTTGGACTTGGCCGGTGGGAGGCCCCGGCAGGAGGGAGCGTGGGGGAGAGTGAGCGAGGTCAGGGGGTTTGTACTCCAGGGCCGCCCCTCTGCGGGGCCACCGGGGTCGGAGGGCCCCTCTACCACACCCCTGGCTGGCGGATCTCTCTCTCTGGGCTCTGGTGTCCACTCTGGCCTCTGCCCCGTCGGGCCCTGGGGTCGTGATAACTTGCTCATGTCGCTAGTCTTGGGCTGTGGCACGGTCTCTTCTGTGTTCCCTTAACCCGGCCCCGGTAGGCGCTTTGTCCAACACGCTTCAGTTTCCCTGCGTGGATGGGCCATCTCTGCCGGGACGTGGCGGTGCACCTGGCCCGGGAAGCAGGGGACGCAGGGCCACGCCGTGCCCGCCACACCTGCCCCAGCAAAGTGTGCAGCTGCCCGTCCCCACCATGCTGCAAACTGCCTCTGCCTCTTAGGCTGGTACCTCTGTGAGCAGCGACAATAGTACGTGCCTCGGAGGCTGGTTCCAGTAAACTTAGAGCCCTTAAGGGGCGCCTGGGTGGCTCAGTCCACTGAGCGTCGGATTTCAGCTCAGGTCGTGATCTCACGGCTCATGAGTTCGCCAGCTCCCCGTGGCGGGGAGGTGGGGGTCCCTGGCCTCAGTGGCTGGCTTGGCTGGTGCTGCCACTTGGAGATGGGGAGACCACGAGGGACAACTCGCTGGGGTTGCGAGGCGGGGAGGGGAGAGGGAGAGAGGGAAGAAACGGCAGCGTTGCGTCTCCTGCGAGGCATCTGAGGGCCCGGAGGTGTGGCTGGGTGGTTGGCGCTCGGGGGGCAGAGCTTTCCGTCGGGGCCGTGGAGGCACCAGGCCCTGAGGCCCAGCGAGGAGGAAGCTCCCTGCAGACGCAGCCCAGCAGGCCCTGCGGAAGCCGCAGGCCCGGAGGAAGTGAGCAGCGTGGGGGGTGGGGGGTGGGGGGGACCCTGCCCTCCCCCGGCCCCTCCAGCCCCCAGGGTAGGAACTTACTTTTCTCTGGAAGCCGGTGATCACGATTCGAGCTCCGCGGCCTTCATTTCATGGCAGCCAGGTGAGTCTCAGCTCCCGGGAGCCCTGGGCTCGGGGCTCTCTGCCCGTCTGTAATGTTCAGGAGCGAGAGGGCACAGAGGGAGGGCTCCGGGGGTGGGGGCTTGTGGCGGCCGACCCCAGAGAACACACCCTTAGCTGAGGGAGGGACTCGGGCCAAGCAAAGCCCTGAGCCTCTGTGCACCAACCACCCCCCCCCCCCCCCCCCCCCCCCCCCCGTAGAGAGGCGCATTTCCTCCCTCCAGGGGCCGGACAGGCAGAAGGGCACGATCCCACCTCCCCGGTAGCCAGGTGGACAGTCTCCCTTTCTCCGCGCCATCTCCCCTGAGCGTCATCCGGCATGAGGGGGGGGGGGGGGGGGAAAGCCACCCCGTTTCAGATGAAGAAACTGAGGCCCGGGTGGGGAGGGGCTGCCGGGGGAGGGGAGATACCCTGAACAGAGCTGGGGCAGACACCCCCCGTGTCCGCTCCACTGCCTTCGGTGAGCTCTGAGTCCGGCCCTGTCTTGTAAAGACCTTCAGGACCAGGAAGGGAGGGGATTCGCCCAAAGTCACGTAGGGTGAGGAAGAGCAAGCCTGGAACCCGGGCCTCCTCCTAACCCCCAGGCAGGGCTCTTTCCTCTTCTCCGGCTACGTCCCTCGAGCCGAATCCTGTCCAGAAGGAGGCTTGGGAATTCAGGGGGCAGGACCGGTCCCACAGCTGTGGTCTCCCCCATCCTCTGTTCGGGATGGGGCCTCAGAGGTTTCCCCGCGGGCCGGCTGCTAGGGCGATGGGGTGGCCCCTGCCGGTGTCCCCATCTTGCCACAGCTCTGGGTCCCGCTGCTGTAGCCAGGTTTCCCCGGTGGGGGGGGGGGAGGGGGAGGGCTGGAGCTGCCCCCCATTCTGCGGCCCCCCTGTCTTTTTGGGGCCCGAAACGCTGGGGAAACGCGGGGGGCCGAAGAGGAGGGCAAAGCTGCCGGCTGAGCAGGAGAGGAAGTGAGCCCTGGGGCAACAGGAAGGAGGCCGGGCTGGCTTCTCCAGGGGCCCCGTCCCGCGTGGGGTGAGCCCGGCCCCTGCCCAGAAGGAGCGCACACGAAGGAGGCCGCACACGCCCCTCGCGTGCCGGCCCCTCCCATGCCGACGTGCGCAGTGAGGCCCCCAAAGCGCAGAGAGGCTGAGCCCGCCGAGCCCCACCGTGGACAGCCTCGTTCCGCGTCGGGCCAGGCGGGGCCAGGCCGCCCCCCGAGAGCCAGGCCCCCGTGGAGTGGCAGCCGAGCCTGGGGGATGCCGCCACGCCAGCGTGGTCCCCGCGTCGGAAGGCTGGTGGTGCCACTCCGTGCCCACCTGTCTCGGCCTCAGGGACCTGGAAGGGACAGATCCGGTGCCCCCCTCGCCCTGCCCCCGCAGGAACTCAGGCACCGTAGAGGTCACCCGTCAGTGGATTCGCCTCAGCCAGCCCTGCCACACGCCCACCCCGGGCATCCCTCTGGAGCTTAACCCCAGGGTTTCCCGGATCTTGACAAGCCCTCAGCCGCGGGCCTCCCTCCACCCCTGCGTCCCACCAGAATGGGCCCCACGGCCTACTTCTCATCAGGGAGACCCGTCTCCTTGCCTAGGCAGCCCCCGCCCACTCCCCGTGCCTCACGGTCGGGAAGGAACGACGGCCCAGAGCCAGCGTGGGGCTCCTCGGATGGTGATGCCCCCTGTCCCCTGCATCCCCCAGGGCCGGCAAGGCAGGAATGGAGCCGGAATCCTTGTACAACCTGCTGCAGCTCCCGAAGGCGGTGGGCTGGCCGGAGGAGGAGGAGCTCCCACAAGGTGCCGGGCCCAAGTGGGGCTGGGGGTCCGGGCAGGGCGGAGGGGCGGGTCTGCGGGCAGGTCCGGGCCCTGCCTTGCTTCCCAGGTTGTTAACTGAACACCCAATTTGTGCAGCCCCTGCCTATGCCTTCTGCTTTATCCTTGACAACTCCCACCCCCGCTTCTGGAAGCTTTGGCAGGTACCCCCATACCGCTCATAACCACACATCTCGCGTTTGAGGATGACACTGGTAACGCGATATTAACTGCTCCTACGTGCTGTGCACGTCCTACAAGCTGCACCTCGTTTATTGCTCTGAGGGTAGGCGTTCCTGCCTCCCTTGTATGCGCGAGGCAACTGAGGCCCAGTGAATAGCAGTGGCAGGTGACTCCGTTCACGTGGTGGAGCTGGGGTTGGGAACCCAAGGAGGGGAGCCCCAGCATTCAGGTTCCCCTCCCGCCATGCCCTGCTGCCAGATATCTGCAGAGATCCGACTTGGCGGGGGATGGGGGTCATCGATCTGCTTCCTTCACTCGTGTGGGTCCCTTTAAATAGTGGCTGGGCACAAGGGCGCCTGGGTGACTCGGACTTTGGCTCAGGTCACGATGTCCGTGAGTTCAAGCCCCGTGTTGGGCTCTGTGCTGATAGCTCAGAGCCTAAAGCCTGCTTTGGATTCCGTGTCCCCCTCTCTCTGCCCCCCCTCTCAAATATAAATAAACATGAAAAAAAATTTTTTCATGTTTATTTATATTTGAGAGAGACAGAGACAGAATGCGAGTGGGTTGGGGCAGAGAGAGAGGGAGGCACGGAATCCGAAGCAGCTCCAGGCTCCGAGCTGTCAGCACAGAGCCCGATGCAGGGCTCAAACTCACGAACCGCGAGATCATGACCTGAGCCGAAGTCAGAGGCTCAACCGACTGAGCCACCCAGGCGCCCCCCAAAATTTTTTTAAAAAGTGGGTGGGCATAGGACGGGGCAATTCAATGGGTGTGGGTCCCCCTTTTAGCAAGTCCGTTTTCTGAGCTCGGGGAGTTTGTGGCCACTGCCCCTGAAACCTCCCTTCCCGAGGAGATGTTTGGAAAGGACAACACAGGTACCCAAAGCTGTCAATCCCCGTTACAGAAAAGAGGCGAATCAGGAAGCAAGCCAAATGTCCCGCTCAGCAAGGGCGTTAAGTGAACTCAGTAGAATTTATGGAACCTTTAAGACATAAACATGATGACGGAGGAAAAGTGTGACGTAGTTGAAATGTAAGAGCAGAATGCAACTTGAGCCTGAATTTTAAGATGGGCGATGTGGCCGAGAGACCCCGGAGCAGCGAGCGAGACCCGGGGGGCCGGGCGGGCATTGCCCAGAGTCGAGAAGCTGACTTCCTTCACTGCCTGGTGCTCTCTGTTTATAGATGGTTTAACGCTGGAAAGCATCGCGAGCAAAATTGCTGTTAGCGGTGGGGCTTGGTTATTTGAAAAAATATTTATTTTTTGTTTTGCAGTGGATTTAGAAATACTCAAAGTACTGGCAGGCGCAGCTGGAACATGGGATGATTCAGAGCGGCAGGAAACCTGCTCCGGGAAGGAGCTGGCGGGGGGTGGGGGTGGGGTATCGCCGGAGGCTTTCGGGGGGCCCCCCACCCCCTCCCCACACATCGGTCCAGAGACTGCCCGGGCCCAGCGTGTTAGATATCCCCGCCTCTTGTCAGGAGATACGGGGCCAGGGAGAACTTGAAGGTTTTCAGATCATCTAGGAAAAGTCTCCAGCCGCGTCGTGGGAAGACAGAGGCATTGCATTTTGTGAACCTGGGCAAGGCAGTGCCCCCCGTGGTGACTCAGTTTCCCCCATGTTCATCGAGACTAGATCCTCTCGGCCCTGCCATTTGTGGGTGCTGCGAGTCTAAGGCATCGGGAAGCTGCTGACCAGAGGGTCAGCCAGGGTGGTCTCGGCGTCCTGCCCGTGCCAGGGAGCCAGACAGACTGGGGTGAAATCCGCCGTGGCCCCCTGGTGCCCGGCCCCTGGGCTCGTGCGAGCCCCTCTGCTTAAGTATGTGGGTAGAATTGCCGGATAAAACACAGGACACCCAGTTAACATTTGAATTTGAGGCAGGAAACAGTTTTCCAGGCAAACTGTGTCCCCAAAATATATTGGTGTGCCTGAGGATGAGCTGGTGCTCATGAGGGGAACCCAGAGGGAAGGGCATTTGGGGTGTGGCTGGAACAGCACGGGCGAAGAAAGAGGTGTGGAGGACGAGGCGTGTCTGGGAGGACCAAGTCTCTTTAGATGTTTGATGCTCAGGGTGTGTGTGTGTGTGCGTGTGCGTGTGCGTGTGCACGCGTGTGTATCAGTGACCGTGTCTGTGGATCTGTGTGGGCGCGCGTGTGATGCAGCGGGACCCAACTCCCCGGGTGTCGAGGTGCCAGGCTGCCCAGCCCCCCCGCAGGGACCCCACACGCGTGTCACGCTCGCCTCTGCTTCCAGGAGAAAAGAAGAAGTACCTGCCACCCACCTCGCGGGGGGACCCCAAATTTGGAGAGCTGCAGAAGGTACAGCTCCTTCCGCGGTCTCCCCCCCACCCCGCTTTCTCTGGGGGCAGTCTTTCCGTCCCCTTGGGGCGGGGTCTGTCCTGCTCCTCCCCTCTCTGACCTCCGCCTGGCGGGTGGTGACCCTGCAGGTCCCCGGGAGACCTGTTGAATGGCTACGTGAGGGAACATTTATTGAGCACCAACTGCGTGCCTTTACGTAGACGATCCCCACAAGCCTCACGACGGTTGAGAGGGATCGGGCGTCCTGAATCCCATGGAGTGAGTAGGAGGCTCAGAGGGGTGACCTGGCCTGTGGGGGACACAAGGCCGGCCAGCAGAGTTTGACCCAGGCCCCAAAGCTTGTGCACTTGCCCCTGCTCGGCTGCGCACGGCAGTGGAGAGCTGGCAAAAGGGGCAGAATGGGGGGGGGGGGTGAGTCACCCGGGCCCCCCGCGTCTCTCCTTGGCTGGGAGGCTGCCGCTGCACCTGCTGGACCAGCTCGGTATAGGCAGGTTCAGGCCTCCATTTTCGTCTGCCTTATTGCTCCAGTCTCCACGTGGCCTTTCTGGTGCCTCCTCCAGGGAGGCCTCCTGGCCTTCCCCCCAGACTGTGGCCGTTTTCCCGTCCCTTCCTCTCTCCCTCCCATTCCCTGGCTCCCTCCATCCCACCTTCCCCACCGTCAGGCACTGGGACCCGAGTAGAAGGAGCGAGGCCCTTCCTGGAAACCTGACGGGGTGCCGACACGTCCTAGTTGGGGCTCCTCCTGGAGCTTACCCTGAGAAGGATTTGGGTGCAGGGAGTGAGCCAGGAGAAAGGAAAGCAAGTGGGCGGGCCCCTCCGGGAGCAGGTGCAGAGACGGAGTAGCTGGGTCCCAAGTCCGGAGTAGCCGGTGCTGCTCCCTTAAAGGCACGGGGCTCTGCTTCCTGCGCTCCCGGCCTGTTGAACCCGGGCGGGGACAGACGCCCTGGCAGAGGTGCAGAGGGGAGCAGGGGTGTGCGCCTCAGTCGTTGAGTCTGGGGGATCAGGCGGGACCCCAGCAGCCCCTGTGTGGGTGTCCTGGGGCTGGTGCCACCGAGTACCATGAGCCAGGTGGCTTAAAGCAAGGGGAGTTGAAGGTCTCCCAGCCCGTAGGCCAGAAGTCCTCAGTCGAGGTGTGGGCAGCGTGGGTCCCTCCCGGAGGTTCCGAGAGGGAACCCATCCCAGCCTCTTGCCCGGCGTCAGGCGGCTCCGGTGACCCTTGGCGCCCCTTGGCGCCTAGACTCGCCACTTGGGTCTCTGCCTCCCTTGTCACGGGGCCTCCTCTGTGTTTCCAAAGTCACGTCCCTCCTCTCCTTCTGGGCTCTCCCCAGAAGTGCCTACTTAGATCCAGATTTCTCCCAACAGCCTCTTCAGGGCAATTCAGGCCTTTCCTGTCGAGGGCCTTCAAAACTCTTCCCATTATCCAGTTCCACGGCCACCTCCCCACTCTCAGGTACTTGTTGTGGTGGCCTTCTGGGACCAGCACCTTGCACAGGACGAACAGCACCCCCGCCCCCCCTCCCCTCCCCGGGCCCAGGTTCCTGCTGAAGAGAAGCAGAGGGTCTTTGGGAAGTCAGACTGAGAGGGCAGGGAGGGCTTCCCAGAGGAGGTGACGTTTGACCTGGCCTTGAAGGTTGGTATAGGAGCTGGCGGGTGGGAGGAGGGCCTTGCGGGTCAGAGCTGAGCCAGGTGGGGGACCCGGTGAGGAGTGGTCCCGGGTCAGCCATCCCCTTGGGGTCTTCAGGTGCTGATGGAGTGGATCAATGCCAAGCTCCTCCCGGAGCACATCGTGGTCCGCAGCCTGGAGGAGGACATATTCGATGGGCTCATCTTGCACCACCTTTTCCGTAAGCGGCTGCTCCCAGGGTACATGGGCCTGGGCCCCAGCACCTCCGCCCCCCCCCCCCCAAGCCTGGCCCCTTCAGGCCCCAGGGGTGGACTTCTCAACAGCCGCCCCCTCCCCGTCACCGTTGTGATGTCGGGTTTGGTCTGCACACCTGCCTTCTGCCCACAACGTTGTGAGGTCCCAGAGGGCAGGGGTGCACCTGATTCTGGTCCTCAGCTGACCTGGGGCCTGGCTCAGCAGCACCCTTTGGTAGTTGGACAGAACGATCTTGCCAGCCCCTTCCGGAGCACCTGCCAAGGAGCAGGTGTGGTTAATCCTCTTACTAACCCTATCCTCTTACTATCCCCATTTTATGGATGAGGAAAATGAGCCTCAGAGAGGCCTCGTCACTTGTCCAGCGTCTTGCAGTGGGGAAGGCGGGGGGGGGGTCAGGGTCTGAGCTTAGGAGTCTAGGCCACCCTGCCTTGCAAAAAGGATGTGCACGTAGCTGAGCAGAAGGCTAAGGTCAAGGTGAGGTGGGCCAGTGGAGGGCGGCTCGGAGGGCCGGGGCTTGCTCGGGTCACAGGGCTTTTGGCGGTGGAGGGGAGCCTGGGGCGGGGGGCACGGTCCTCACCCCTCCCTCCCTCTCCTGCCTTTCTCGGCCTCTCCCCCCGACTCCCTCCTGGGCCCTCCCCCGCTCTCCTGCCCTCAGAGATGCTGACCGGGCTCCGGCTGGACGTGGAGGAGATGGCTCTCACGGTCCCCAACCAGAGGCGCAAGCTGGAGGCCGTCCTGGAGGCAGTCAACCGCAGCCTGCGGGCAGAAGATCAGCCGCTCAAGTGGAGCGTGGACGGTATGTGGGGCCCCGGCTGGGGCGGGGTCCCCGGGAGGGCGGGGGGAGCCTGGGTCCCTGTGCAGCACCGGCCTCTTGTTTCCTCTGCCTCTGGGGTGGGGGCACCCTGGGGGCTTCCGGGGAGCCTCCCGTGCAAAGTCGTGCACCCCGTCGAGGGCCAAGAGCCCTACACACTTCTGCGCCCCGGAGGTGTCGCCGCAGCAAAGCCCGCGGCCGTGTAATGGCATAAACGTGGTCAATGAGGCCCCTACTGTTTGAGTTCCAAGCACCACGAGCTCCCACGTATCTCGTCAGATGGGTGCTACCGGTCTCGTTTCGTTAATTGATTTAAGCTCTACCCGCGGTGCCTGCTGGGAGCGAACGGGAGGGAGCAAAGCCCCCACTCTGATCTCCGCCCCCTCCCCCATCTTCCAGATGAGAAAACTGAGGCTGAAGGGGTCGAGTGCCTTCTCCGAGATTGGGAGGTGGTGATGTAACAGTTTTCAAGCCGAGTTTTTGTTGGGTTGCGTGCCTTCACCGCTGCATTTAACGTCCCGCTTTCAACAAATGATGGGCGTAACGTTGGCCCTGAATTAAGCCACACTCATCTGAAGCCAACAGTTTCTTGCACTGGGGCCCCCACTGTAGGGCCTCGAGCGGCTCAAAATTGTAAAGGGTGGCTGTCTCTGTGTCGAAAGCCCCGTCCACTTGGGGAATTGTGCCGTGGGCTGTATTCGCAGAGCAGGGTGATGAGAGCACAGGGTGGCTATTTTGGGTTCCGAATAAGTATCTCCAGTCCTCTGCCTTCCAGGAGGCTGGAGGCAGATCTCCTTGGTCTTCAGAGGGTTGTTGGCACAATATGGAGCCCTCCGTGTGGCCCCAGGTATCGGTGGCCCCTTCCGCTCTGACCTGTGCCCTCTCCCCTCCCAGCCATCTTCAACAAGGACCTGCTGGCCACCTTGCATCTCCTCGTGGCCCTGGCCAAGCGCTTCCAGCCCGACCTGCCCCTCCCGACCAATGTCCAGGTGGAGGTGATCACCATGGAGGTACGGGGCTGGGTGCTGGGGGGACCCCTGTGTACAGGCTGAGCATCTTGGGTCCATGTCACCGTACCCTGGATTAGGGGGTGCTGCGTGGGGAGGGGCTGAGCCAGGATGTTTTCTTAGGAGCCTCAAGATATATCACATCCCTCCAGGACTGCAGAGGGGCCTGGGCTGGAGCTGTGGGTGGAGATATTGAGAGCCGTGGTGGCGGGGGGCCTAGGGTCACATGGTCACATGGTCACATGGGCCATTAGTGGTCATCTATCTGTTCATGGCCTTTCAGAAGCCTTCATAGTTTTGGCCCCCAGGCCACTGCGGTGTTGTCCCTCATTCACCAATGATGGCTGTGACCGTGCAAGGGAGCCTTCTCGTTTCTCCACCCACAGGGTCCCCTTGCTCTAGCATACGCACAACTGGTGCTGAAGTTCATGTCCCCGGAGCCCATGGCTTCTCCCTCAGGCAGAGTCTGAGCATCACAAACGGGGCCCCCACCTTCTCCTGCTCCCCGTTACTCCCTCCCCCAACTTCTGAGTGCCTGATGAGCCAGGGGGCTTCCCGTTTTGGAGCTTACGTTTCACTCAGATGAAATCATTCTTACTTCTTTCAAAACCGTTGATTAAAATTCTCCACTAAGCAGTGTCATGACTGTGTTTATACTTCTTATATAAATCAGAGGTGACTTCATTCCTTCATTCCTTCACTCATTCACTTATTCATTAATCCATCCACCTACCTATCCACTCATCCATTTACTCATCCATCCATCCATCCATCCATCCATCCATCCAACCATCCATCCAACCATCCATCCAACCATCCATCCATCCATCCACCCAACCATCCATCCATCCATCCAACCATCCATCCATCCATCCAACCATCCATCCATTCATCCATCCAAGCATCCATCCATCCAACCATCCAACATCCATCCAACATCCATCCATCCATCCAACCATCCATCCAACCATCCATCCAACCATCCATCCATCCATCCACCCAACCATCCATCCATCCATCCATCCATCCATCCATCCATCCAACCATCCATCCATCCAACCATCCATCCATCCAACCATCCATCCATCCATCCATCCAACCATCCATCCATCCATCCAACCATCCAACATCCATCCATCCATCCATCCAACCATCCATCCATCCACCCACCCATCCACCCACCCATCCACCCACCCGACCACCCACCCGTCCACCCGACCACCCACCCGACCACCCACCCGTCCACCCACCCACCCACCCGTCCATCCACCCGTCCATCCATCCACCCAACCATCCATCCGTCCATCCATCCATCCAACCATCCATCCATCCATCCATCCATCCAACCATCCATCCATCCAACCATCCATCCATCCATCCAACCATCCAACTATCCATCCATCCAGTCATTATTCATTTGTCATTCAGATCAACACATGTTTATTGACTCCCTGTGAGCCAGGGACTGAGTGAAACTCTGGGGATATCTGGGGAACAAGACAGACATTGTCCCCATCCTCATGGGGCCCAAGGCTCATGGAGCAAGAAAGACAATTGAGCCAGGCCACAGTGATGAGCACCGTCCAGGAGCTGCCCCGAGGAGGGAAAGAGGTAGAGTGAGCTGGGTTCTGGGGCTGCGCTGGCCACTACAGTCTTTCAGTGGCTGCTGGCGTGGGTCCCCGAGTTTTCTGGGATTACTCAATTTCTTCCCCGTTTTTCTTTCTTAGAGCACCAAAAGTGGTCTGAAGTCGGAGAAGTCGATGGAACAGCTCACTGAATGCAGGTGAGGGAAGAGTCAGGGCTTGCAGCACAGGCCGAGCTATATTATTTGGGGAATGGGTAACAGGGCCTGAAGCTGGGGACAGAGCTGCCCGCCCTTTGTGGGAGGGACCCTCACATCTCGCCAGCTTCCTCTCAGCCCCCAGAGGGCCTCGCTGACCCCTCAGCCCTGCTGGGCGCCTTTCCATCTTGCTGGGCCTCGCAGGGCATGGCCCTGGCTGTTAGGCATGCCCCCCCCCCCCGCCCCCTGCCAGCTCGTTTGTCCTCTGCACAAAAGCAAGCAGAGTTGGGGACAGAAGGGGCTGTGGCTCCCAGTCATGAGGTCACACTATAGCCATTGTGGGCCAGGAGGAATCTAGACCTGGGGTCACAGGACCCCGATGCCATGTCACTTCCCAGAGCCTGGTGGCCGAGGGCTGGAGCCAAGGGCACCAAACACCAGCATTTATAGAGCACCTAGTGTGTGCGGGGTGGGAGGCTCTGTCCTTGGGTGTCCACGACAGCCAGCTGCTTACCTTTCGTGCGTCTGGACAAGCAGGTTGCTCGGCTAATGGGCTCTTCCCTCTGCCCTCCTGGAGGTAAAGCCTGGCTCTCTGTTTCAGGCTGCCCTCTCTACCCTGCACAGCACAGTCCCCTGTTGAGGGCCTTGGTCGCAGGGCCCACCCGGCCCTCCTGGGACAGCTTGACCCGCTTTGGGCCCAGAACCTTGCTTCGAAGGGGTGTGGCTGGGGTGGAAAATTTGACACAAGGTCGAAGACAAACCATTCAGAACAAGAGAAACAGAGTGAAAGAAGCCAGACGCAGAAGAGAGCGTGATTTCATTACACGGGCTCCCAGAATAGGCTAAACCAGTTCACAGCGGGAGGAATCAGGGCAGGGGGTGATCTTTGGGGGGGGGGGGCGCGGGGGCGGGGGAGAGCACATGGGGGTGCCAGGAAGGGTCTGTATCTTGTTGGGTGCTGATCACACAGGTGCGTGCATATGGAAAAACACACGCGCCTTAATCGTACAATTTGTGTGCTTTATTGTATGACACCACCCACCCGAACTAAAACAACCACAGAAATGACAAAATCCAGACATAACTAGGTGTGGAAGCCTCCAGGGTGGGGTGTGGGCCTCTTTCTGCCCGCTCCCTGTGCAAGGGCCCTGCCTGCTTACGAACTGCAGGGAAGAAGGGAGCTCGCCCGTTTCTCTGTCAACCTTGCTAGTGCTGAGTCTTGTCGTAGTAAGAAACTACAGGTCTGAGGATATTTTTTAACCACGTGTTTACCTTTCTCCCCCCTGCAATTGTCCCTTTAGCACAGACAAGGACCCAGCTACCAGTGAGTACTTTTCCCACCGGGTGTGTGTTAAAACAGATGGGAGGATGAAGGGTCACTTGCTGGGTGTTCTCTGCTCTTGCCTCTGCGCCCCGCTACTTGTATCTCGAGCCTTCTTCTGCTCCGTTTGCCCCTTCTTCTCTCCGTCAGTCCGTCCCAGGATCGGGCTGTTTCCTCTCACGATACTGCTCAAACCGCAGGGAGAGGTTTACAGTTCCCGCCGGTGGTCATGGTGGAGTTGTTATGAACGTGTGGGCTCTGAAGCCACATGGCCCGGGTTCAGACACTAACGTGTCCTCTTGTTAGCCATGTGAACTTGGGCAAGTGACGTAACCTGTCTGTGTCTCAGCTTTCTCATCTGTAAAATGAGATTAATAATGGCACCCACCTCTTGGACTGGTGAGGAGGGTTAAAAGATGATTTGTGAATGTGTTTAGCCCAGAGTGGGTGCCCCATAGTGACTGTGCAGTGGTGTGGCCACTTCTTTTGTGACAGACATCTTCCCCTAT